CACTTAGTTCTGCTTTCTAGTCAGTTTGCATATAACTGTTGTCTGTGTTCAGCTCTGATACTTTCTCTGGCTGCATGTACAGAATTTGTCTGTGAACCGTCATCAGTGCTGCTGTAAGGAGAAATGAAACAGAGGGGGTGGTTCCCCCTGCAGAATAGGAGCTCTCTCATCCTTGATTTCCTGACCCTGTAGCCCCTCAGGTCTGCACTGCTTCAGTAATTCCAGTAAGCCTCACTCATGTCTCTGGAACGACCTTTGATCTGGAATTTCTTGACACGATGTGAATTTGTTGATGTGAGCAGCATCTGAAGCAGACTGATGTCCTTGGCAGTGTGACAATAGCGTTTCTTAGTAGTGCTTTCAGCAGTGCAAAGCCCTGCCTTGTGTGAGCTTGAGGTAGCTTTCACCCATCTTACATGACAGTTCATTCAACGTACGCACTCCCCAGTGCCTGTCTGAGCTTGGAAGAGGCGGCATCCAAGGATGCCTTTTACCAGTGTCACAGATGGACACTTACAGCCTTCTTATCATGAGTGGTCCTAGGACCATCGCCAGGCAGAGCTATTAAATCGTCATTCCCACCATCATCATCACTGCTGTGTGCAAAGTATCACACCAGTTCCAAACGTCAGCCAATAACGTTGTGAAATAGTCACTGTATTGGAACATTGAAAAACTGCTAGTTGTGGTACTAGTTAAGAACATGTACTCCAGAACCAGGTCCATTGCTTCTATGTGACCATGAGCAAGTTACTAAACCTCTCCAGGCCCCAAGAACCTCATCTAAAAATGGGAACAATAATAGTTTCAGCCTTCTGACATGATTGTGATAGAAATTCACCAAATATTTATAAAATATGTAAAACAGTAAATGTCATAGAATATATACACAATAAAAATGTTTATTTTTGATAGTATCATCACCACGACTATCACCTCTGATCTACAATAGAAATTCCAAGAGTTTTTGATTGGCCCAAAATCCATGAGACTATGTAGGATGGTTACCTGGAAGTACAGAGTGGGATAAAATTTACAGCCCAGGCGTTAGGACTCCAAGAGATACAGACTTTTTCCTCTTGTCTTTACTCTCTTATTGCATCACTACATAAAATATATTCCTGATATAAAAAAGCAAACTGATTAAGAAGGTTTTAGTTTCCCCATTCCTACCTCTCCTCGTGGGTAACAGTTTATAGTCTTCCTGTATTCTACATACAGGGCACGCATAAAATCAGTACGTACTTCAGTGATACAGGACTTGGCCTCTCATGTGCAAAGCCCCAGGTTTGATTCCTGGCAGCCCCCCCCACCCACCCACCAGTCACTAGTTACACATTATGTGACCCTTCACACATAAATAAGAGTGATAGCACCATCTTAAAACACTGAAGAGGAGATAAAGCACTTACCATGGTGCCAGGACACAGGTTAGATTCCTGGTAATTTTCTCATGAATGCTACAAAGTAACTATAATGGTACTACCCATTTCATTGAAAGTTAAGGAGTAAGTATGAGACTGGATTTGATCCAATCAAATCAGGGTTTCCACTGTTTAACGTGGATACATAGCAGAGAATTTCCATTTAAGTTTTTTCTTTCTAATGGTAGTTTGAATTCTTTTGGTGGGGGGGTGTTCTGGGAATTGAGCTCATGACCTTGCACTTGCCAGGCAGGTGCTGTGCCACTGAGATGTATTCCCAGCCCTTTGGCCCTTGAATTCTTTTTTTTTTTTTGGTCTTTTTCCTTTTTATCGGTACCAGGGATCGAACTCATGACTGCTTGCTTACAAGGCAGGTGTTTATGCCACTGAGCTAAATCCCCAGCCCCGGCCCTTGAATTCTTAATAGTGTTAATTTGAACTCTTCTTACGAATATGTTTACTTTATTTCTAATGGCAACATATGCTTCAGTATTTAATTTCTTCCTTCTGAGGGGGGTTGTTATGTGTTGCTTTGTTCTGTGCTGCTGTAAATAAAATAGTACTGAATAATAAAATAGTACCGAAACTTTTGGGGCACATTCCTGAGACTATGTAGGACGGCTACCTGGAGGTGAAAGTGTGAGTCAGAGGGTTTGTGCACATTAACTTTTAATGGATACCATCGAGTTGTCTTCCAGGAAGGATTTTGGTCATCAGCTGAAAGCATCAGCTTCCTCATATTTGTGTTCTGTTTATCTTTGCTAATTTTATGGGGGAACAAAAGATTTTCTAAACTGTACTTCTCTGATCAATGGTACGATTGGCCAGCTTCTTAATTTTTTTTATTATCCCCATTTTCTCAGGAAATAGCCTGTGGCTATCAGTTGTCTTTCATTGTAGACACTCTTTACATGTTCTGAATAGTTCTTTGCCTGAAATGTGTGGTAAAACTTTTCTATTATTTCTCTTCGAATTTTATGTGTAGAGATTTTTATTTTGTGCAATGTTTGGCATAGACTGGCTAATATTTACCTTTATTGTTTCTAGATTTTGCCCTGCTTAGGAAAGCTTTCCTACCATATGTTTATTAAAATACTCTTCTATATATTCTTCTTACACTTCTATAATTTTGTTTCTACCTTAACTTTGTTTCTACTTCAAGCTTTGTGGAATTTATATAGTTCGCAAGTTAAGAATCTAGATTTACCTTTGTCCTTTTTTTTTTTTTTTTTTTTTTTTTTTTTTAACCTTTCTCTATTTTGAGAACCAATTTTCCTTACTTTTCTTTTTCTTTCTTCCAGTGCTGGAGATCAAACCCAGGCAGGGTTTCTAGCTAGGCAAGTGATCTACCCAACCCTAAGCCATATCCTCACGCCTTTACTGTTTGTTGAATAATCTGTTCTTTAAATTAATTTTAACTGCCACCTTTATGATAAACTAAGCTGTCTTGTAGTTGTGGCTGTTTCCTCTCTTCTGTTCTGCTGATTTATTTTCTGTTCCTGGATGGGTATTCAAGTGCTTTAATTATGTTAGCCTTAGAATGAATTTTTAAATCAGGAAAGGACAATTCTCTTTCATTGCTGCTCTTTTTTAGGGGAGATCTTTTTCTTTTTTTTGTACATTTCTTTTCTTCTATGTGAACTTATAATCTGTCAAGGTCCATAGAGCAAACTCCTGTGGGCACTGCTATGCTACTGTGAAAGCTTCACAGGAGTAAGTTCATTTTAGACTAGTCAGCATCTTTACATTTTTCAGTTTTTGTACTCAGAAATATTATTGTGTGTTTCTATTGAGAAAAAGAATTATTTACATCTCACACTCATCAGTTAAGTTTTATATCATTTTTATATCATTTATATCTTGTATTAGGATGGATTTGTTGCTACTGCAAATGACTTGCTTCTATTTTTTATTGCAAACAGGAAGTAATAGTTTTACTAACAAATAGCAAATAATAGTTAATGTTAATTTTTATTTAGCCACTTGCTTGAACTCTTTCATTAGTGATCATACACTTATTTATTTTTCTTATCACACAGGCAAGTACCCAAACAATGCCGAGTGTTACTGGTGAAAAACACATTTTTGTCTCACTCCTATCTTTAATGCGAATGCTTCCGGTGTTTTACCACGAAATACGATAAACATGCTTTATTAGCACGAACACTTTCTGTTTATGCTTTAGAAAGGTAAACTGTGTTTTTCACCACACATCACACCCTGTTCTGGAGACTTAATTTTTACACTTCCTTTGAGATTCCAGGGATTGTCCCACTAACTTGAACTTCAACACTGACCATCCTACTGAGCCAACCTGGCTTAGAACCAAGTACAATTTCCTCCTCTCTTTTACCCACATTGGACCCCAGATGTGTTAAGGACGGGACCTACTTCATGCTTCTCTTTGCACTCAGTCCTGCACCCTTGTGCCCTACAAAAATTTTTTTTAATAAATAAGAAACAGCAAGTGGACAAGAATAAGAACACCATTTCTGCAATTTTTTGGCAGGCACCATTAAAAAGGTGTCTTTCCTAGATTTTTTAATTTAACTAACTTGATACCTTTTCCCTCTTGATCATCTTAAGAGGCTGATCCCCATGTCACGCTTTGATTAAGGGGCTTTTGCACTTTCTGTAGGAGGCTGTGAGATGGAAATCAGAACCTGACTCTCTTCCTGTTGCGGTTTCACGCAGGTTCAGAAGCAGGGCACAACCACTTTTTTCTCAGCACTGGTGTTGTACACGATCAGCGCAAAAGAAATGTTTTCACACTTGAGTAAAAATCATTTAATCGCAGAATCCATTTGGTAATTTTTAAGTGAAGCCTTCTTTTTCCCCTAAGCTGTGAATGAAAGGACGTTTTTGTCGGGCTTCCTTTGAAGGGTGACTCTAATATGGTTTGGCACGTGTCTGGAGAATTGTCCCTGTGTCCAGTGATGCTTTGCTTCAGGAAAGTCAGCACCTGCTATGATGGCATCTGTCACACTTAGGAATGTGAAATGCCACTTCAGTGAAATGCACTAATATGAGGCATTGGCAAAAGATTGATGTAGGCAGCATAAAGGAGAACTTAGCCTTCTTCTAAAACAAGAACAGAGGATTATGGACTTCATGATGGTTTTTCTTACCCTGATGCAAGTTGGGTAGATTTTATTATTTTCTGATCACTGAGCCAAGAAGGTGAGAACCTGCTAAGCCAACGTTAACCTCCCATGAACGGTACTTTCATGTTTCAAGGTGGAGTTATTGGAACGTAAAGTGAACTCATCTCAGGCATGTGATGTTTAACTGGAAATCATCCAGGCAAGCATAGGTGAAGAGAAAAATGGAGGTCAGACACACTGAGAAGCAAAGCAGCCCAGTGTGGTGGGTGTGAGTAGCTGGTGTTTCAGCCTTTGTGGCTCTAGTGAGGTTGGCTTTGACTTCTAGGATTACTGGTCTGGGAAGTTTGATTACTTGGATCATTATTTTTCTTCCTCAGCAAATTTTCTTTTCTTTTAAATCCACAACTTCAGAAGACTTTTGGAGCCACAGCTGAATGGATAGACTAAATGTTCCCTGCCTTTTTTCTTGCAGGCAGGTGACAAACATTATCACCCCAGCTGTGCACGATGCAGCAGATGCAACCAGATGTTCACAGAAGGAGAGGAAATGTATCTTCAAGGTAAGATGGACTGGAGAGCAAAGTACATTTTCAGTACTTGGGGAAAGAATATCTTGCTGTGTTTTTGGGTTGCTTTTAGAGAAGGAGGCATTTTGTTAGCTGAGAAGCTACCCAAATCCAACATCAACATAGCCAAAAGTTACCTCATCCTTGGTTAGTGTAAACTGGCCAAGCAATTGATATGCTGGCAGTGAGCGCCTGAGGCTGTTGAAGAAAGAGCTCTGAGCTTAAGTTGTTGCTTGGAAAGAATGAATAAGACTTAAGGTTGATGCTGTGAATTCGAGGGATAAGTGAAACTCAGGAATTCCTCCTCTCCGTTTTTCCCCAAGAATATATTTGAAAAAACAAATGATCAAAAACAGAACACATTCCTAGAAATTCCTAGAAGCATTGCTTATGTGATAGCTACATTTCCTTTTCTCCTTTTATTATCTTGTGAGAAAGATTATTTGAAGTCATGCCATCTGCCTTTCTGTGTGCTTTTGAGGAAAAGAAAATCTCCTATTTGATGAATTACATTACGGACACATCTCAGCCCACTGAGATGGCATCGTTCATATTGAAATAGAATGAAGGAGAACACACCCAGAGTCCCTGAAAGAGAAATTATGAAGTTTCTGGTGGCCTGGAAGTACACATTCCCAGGGAGCCCTTCGACTTTCCTTAACTGAAAATAATTTTGAGAAATGTTTCCAGAGTAAAACTATTATTCATTTCTGTCCTCCTCCGAAATTCTGAGCTTCTTGGAGAAGTTTTGGGAGCAAATTCTCTTCCAGGCAAATGGCACCATCTGTGCAAAGCATTTCATTGTTTTTTAGCTGGGAAAAGACTCATTAATAAGATGAAGGTTCTTCAATAAAATTAGCAAGAAACTGTTAGGAGCAGTTGCTGGTTCAGTTTGAGTAATTACTGGGTCTGAGTTGCCTCTACGTGCCATTTCTTCATTCCTTGTTAAACAAAACACCAAGTGTATTTTTAATGAATGGTTTGCTTTACTCTGTTTTGTTTTTGTATAACTAAGAAAAGTCTATAAAAATGACTCATAGATGTTAAATCACCATGTTGGCTACTCTTAGAAATACTAGAAAGGTGATAAATGGGCAACACAGTGTTTTTTTAGCTTTAGCATGATTGCTCTGGAAAAACTCTCGATGAGAAACACCACTGAATGTTGAAACACACTGTGAAAGTGACAAGCTCTGCATCTGTGGTCTCACGAGGGCTTTATAGACACATTTTCCCAAGAACAGGCTCCACACCTGCAGTAGCAATAAGCAGGTGTCACTTTGCTGCACAAAGCAGATTGATTCTTTGGTGGTCACCAGGCCTGCTGCTAGATTTTAGTGTATTAATTACAGCACTCACAAAACAGACAGTAGCAAGAATGCCAATCTGTGTCTTCTGGGAACTGAGACTAAGGCTTGGGTGCAGCTCTGCGTATTCCCGGTGGTTCTGGAAGCTGAACAGAGAGGGCAATTTCAAGCTGTGCACAAATCCAACACATTTCTGAGACAGCATTCAGGATCACAGGGATTGTTCTAAGTCTCCTTTAGAGTTGGGCATCGCTGCCATTGTATTCCCTGTCCACACATCCTGGAGGAATTAGTAGTTTCATTGTCTGAAGCACCTGATCTTGTCTCTGAGTCCCATTCCTTGTATATGTGACCTTCAGAGGACAATGTTGACATTGTTTGCAGCCCTGGTATTCTGGACAGTGCCTTCTGCCTTCTAGAACCTCCATGGCAAATACAATGCTCTCCTGGCCTGAGCCTGACCTTTGCCTTTCCACATTAAAAGGTTTCCTGTGCTTTGTAGTCAGCTTTTGAACCAGTTTTAGTGCTAAAGGGGCTCATATGTCTGAGTTTTGTTTGTTTGATATTCTTCCTTTTTATTTTATTTTCTTTCTCTTTTCTTTCTCCACGCCCGTCCTGGGTGAAATGAGATAGAAGTGATTGTTAAACAGAAATTAAACTATTTTGATATAAAATATTTTTTTTGCCATTAGTATGATGTTATTTTAGCTCAGGGGTATAAAGCAATTCATGAGTTATTTTAAATTGATGACTTTTCTGGCCTGGGATTTAGCTCAGTGGGTCAAGCACTTGCCTGCTAAGCTCAAGGTCATGAGTTCAATCCCCAGCACCAAAAAAAAAAAAAGTAAACTGATGACTTTTCAAGTAAACATGGGTGATTGTTTGAAGAGATAAGGACTGAAATCATGACCTGAAGAAAGACTGATGATGTTTATACCGAGACTCATCACTGTCATAACTCGCAACTTTCCACTTAGCGACTTTGTTAGCTTGAGTCTTTTTAAGTGCTCCTGGGTTCCTCCTACTCCAAGGTTCATCTGAACAAACCCGCATGTGCACACAGGATTCAATTACCAGCCTGACAAATAGTCATATAAATGATGTGTATTATATGTCTGGCCAAAGAGAATCATGAGCGGGCATTGGATTCTTGATCAGAGTTGTCTTTTTGGAAATAAGTGTTTTTGCTTAATTCTATGATGGTGACATTATCCATGAAAGTGCTTCATAGTCCTATAAAGGATGATTACTGATTCATAAACAGGAAACAACAGCTAAATGGTCACTTTCTTAGTTTAAAAGGAAAGACTATTACTAGCTAATTTAAAGGTTAAATGATTTGTAATGTAACTTGAACCTGTCTAACACTTAATATAGTTACCCATATCAGTGTAGATGACTGTAGAATTACATCAGTGAAAAAAAATTAGTAAATTTTGCTCCTGAATAGATTATCTGGTTTGTTTTATTTTTCTCAACTAAATTGCTTTATTGTTCAATTGTCTATAAAAATGTCTTATTTATGACGTTAAATGCAGCTTATACTAAGCACTGAGACATTACTTTTGAAGGACAATAATACAGTTTTTGAAAAACAGTCAAAAACTAAATATCCCTTGCATTAAAACAATTGTGTGCCCCGTTAGTGGCCTCTGTGGTCCACAGTGATGGTATTTTTAGAACAAGGTTGGGTTAGACAAAGAAATTCACCTGAAGTTTGTGGTTGTTGGATTTTAGTCTCATTAGTTATATGACTGTGGGCAGCTGTGTGATTTCTATGGTGGGAAAGAGGAATCTGACCCCCTCTCAGGAGTTCTGTTAAACAGGACGATGGTGTCCTTCCATTTCCTTCATGCTTTGCTCTATGTCTTTCCAGGTTCCACCGTTTGGCATCCCGACTGTAAACAGTCTACTAAGACAGAGGAAAAGCTACGGGTAAGGAAGCAATTAGAACCGTGGTGCCAGGTACATTGGGTGCCCATGTGGGTGCTCAAAGTCACTAATTGTTGGAACTAGGCTTTGGGTGAAATTACTTTTTACCAGCATTTCCCTCAGAGAAACCATAGCTTAAAGGCCATTTGACCAGCTAACGTGGGCCTTCTTATCCTGAATTTATTGTGGTTTTTGTTTGTTTTTTGGTTCTAAATGCTTGTATTAGAGAGTGTTACCTTGTCTGTCTACTTCTCACAAAAGCATTTAAGGAAAAAGTGGACAGAGATGAGGAAAAAAAAAATGGCCCCGTCGAGTTCTGTATTCACTCTTTGGTGACCTTCTTGCCAGACTTTTTGTGCTTGGCCCATGAAGCACCACTTCACCTCAAACTCCGCATCCTTTGCTCTGCTCTTGGTATACTTTATTTACCTCTCACATGCAAATTCACCAGGATAACCTCTAACTCTAAAAACTGAGGGGATAACAAGGAGGAGCCCTGATGTATAAATTGGTTAATGCTCAGAATACCTCCAGTGGCTGATATTTTACCTGTTTTAGAAGCAAAGAGCTATACGAAAATAGACATTTACGATCATGTTCAGATGGTTCTAGGTTTTCTCCTGAGTTATTTTTCAGAGGATAATCAGACTGAATCCGAGTTTCCCCTTTTCACTGATTTAGAGGCACCTGTGGAGCCCACCTTCCCTTCACCTGGCCCCTCAAGGAACGGAACCGTCTGGATTTAGTTTGGAGGCCAGGTCCTAGTGTGTGGAGTGATTGCTTCTTGAGCTGCCCCTAGCAGGCACTTTCGTATGTGGCAGGTGTCGTTCTCAGCAGTACTCAGCTGATTTACTGGCAGGACCTGGTCAAAGATATGTGACTTGTCAAGGGATGACTTGACTGCTGAGAAATGATGGTCAGATTTTCAAGACCCCTACAACTGCCACCGTGGATTGCTGCTCTTATTTTCTAGTGTCTTTTTTTTTTTTTTTTTTTTCATTTTTATCGGTACCAGGGATCAAACTCACGACTGCCTGCTTGCAAGGCAGGTGCTTATGCCGCTGAGCTAAATCCCCAGCCCCTATTTTCTAGTGTCTTTTATTCTCTCCATTGAAACACATTTATGCAGAGTGTTTTTTTTTTAAACTCCCTTTGTTTTGCTTTTGTTTTTTTTTTTTTTTCTTCTCAATGGCATTTATAAATCAGATGGAGACATTTTGCCATTTGTACATCATAAGAGACCTGTCCTTTGCCTTGGATCCTAAGCAAAAGCAGTTCTTTTTGCAGTCACTATTATTTTAAGCAAAATTGAAGTAAAGGGGAAGAACCCTTTTTCTGAGAATAATTGAGTAAAGACGAGAATAACAGAAGAAGATAGTGCCCACCAGAACTGGGGTGGTTTTGCTCTGTGTTTTGTATAGACAGCTTTAATTTGAGCATATCTACAGTTGCTGTTGAAGTTCATCAGCCAGACAGATTAGCCTCTGAGAATTTGGAGGAACCATAGTTGCCTGGGATACAAGGTTATCTTTATAAAATATGAAAACATTAAAGATAGTGCTGATTGTCACTTTTGCCCTAAGTATGTAGAATTCAAAACATAGCTTGAGGCTGCTGCCCAGAAACCACCCAAGTAGCCAGTGGTCTACACCCTATCTACAGCACTGCATTTCGTTTTTGAGTGATCATTTTTACTTTATTCCTGATGAAATTTTTTTCCACGTAAAGAAAAGATTGCAAAAGAGGCCAGACTGAATGAAATGTGTGCCTTTTTTTCTATAAGGATAGCTTAGTTTTGTGAACCCTGAAATGTTCCTAAAATGATTTAAAGCAGGAAAGAAAAAAACCATACTTGATCACATCTTGATAGAACTCTCTGCAGAAGCTTATGAAAACAGCTTGGGAAGTATTTCACTCATTCTGGCTGAGAGATGCTCTTGTTTTGTTCCTTAGTGAGCATTCCAGAGCTCTTGTCCTAATCTCAACATTTACTCCACAGGCACGATCAGATCAGCCCTGTCACTCAGTGTCTTTGGGAAATCCAGGGGTCAGGAGGAGGAGAATGTACTGCCACAAGAAATGAGTTCTGTGTGCCCACAGTTGGGGTCTAGGTTGACACTGGTGAGGTTTAGAGGGGAGCTGATTTTTAATAGAGGAATAAGTCTTGTGCTCCCTTAAGGGTGTGTCTACAAACTCAAATCCTTGCGCCAAGCTTTCTAAGCCTTCAGTGAATGTCACAGTTGAGCAGTTTCCATAGCAAAATGAAAATGTTTGAAGAATCTTTGAGCAACCCCACTGAGTAATCCACATTCTTGATATTTAATCCACATTCTTGGGGCATTTGTGACAATAGATTTTTAACAACATGTCTCAATTCACTTTATTGCCGTTTTACTCTTCATATACTATAAATACATCTCAGCCACAGTAAACAGAGGACTCAGGGTAGAGGATGTAGGTAAATATGCTAGAATTTGGGGCCTCTTAATATGTACTTCCTATGAGCCCAAAATGGACCCCTAAACCCAGCACATGCCCATCAACTAAAATGATGTCATTTGCAGTTGACATAAACTAGTTTTCCCATGGGTGGGTTTTTTTTTGTTTTGTTTTGTTTTTTTTTAGTAGTTTCTGAATGAGAATATTGTTTATTCTTTCCTCTTTTCATCTTTTATGGCAGCCACCAAACATTCATCGTTCTCCATCTGATTTCTTTTATCCCAAAAGTCTGATCCGCCGCATAGGACGGTCTCCATCTCTTCAGGTTGGCGCTGTGCTGGGGCTGAGACTTGGAGTCGCTGTCCTGGCCCAGGCTTCTATTGTTCATGCATGGTCCCCTCACCCCCACTTCCCAGCTGCTTTTCTCACATGACTTACACAGCTCCTGCAGAAGGCAGATGCTTTCTTACCCAGTGAGTTGTGTCTCACGGTCTGACTTGGGCTGGTTTCCTTCAGAGCAGAGGCTAAAGCATTGTCTTCCTTGGCTTCTGTGTGTGTATGTGTGGTGCCAGGGATCAAACCCAGGGCCTTGTGCATGCAAGGCAAGAACTCTACCACTGAACCATATCCCCAGCCCTAACACACTGTCTTCATTCAAGTCAGTGTATGGGGCTGTCATTTGGTCTTGTGTGCCCACATTTGTTCACCAGGTGTGGTGCACAGTTGGGGCAAAAACAAAGAAGTAATGTCTAGAAAGGATAGAAATATCATGAGACATGGGTTGCATAGATCACGTAATCAAGTGTATGATGGTCCCTGGGATGTCAGAGGAGGATGGGTCCCAAGGGTACTTCCAGAGAGAAGTGGTCATAATTTGAATCCTTCAGGCTGGAGAAGATTTGAACAAGGGGAGATTAGAGAGAAAAGGAGGAGCCCTATCAAGACACAGAAAGTTGGAGCTGGGGGAAGCAGAACCAGGCAGGATATGGTTTGTCTCCAAAAAGAGACAGCGAAGGTTAGGGGTGGAGGGACCAAGGAGAGCAGGCGCCCACTGTAAGGAAGCGGAGGATCCACCTGCACTGTCATTTGCCTTCCTAAGAATTCCTGTGAGGTAACTCATTTTATTCTTGTTTTGCCCATAGGCAGGCTGAGAGCAAGGGCCATCATCATGAGGTGACCTTCCCAGAGACACCCTAGCATTGAGTGAAGGATCTGGGGTACCCAGGTTTCTGTGAGCCCATGGTCCTGTTTTGCCCATGCTAAATAAGAGGACAACAAGAGAGAAACCGAGACTAGAGAAGAGTCTTAAATGCTGGCTAAGGTCTTTGTCAGGGGCCCTGATGCAGATGAGGACAGCAGGACCTACCAGGGCTCCCCTTCATGGCTCCCCACAGGAGCCGCCAAGCAGGAGATTATATTCCATTCTCACTTCACATTCTTTGGGGTCCCTAAGAAGGCAGTAGAAACCCTGGCCTGCCCCTCCACTCTCCATACTCCCACACTGGCCAAGGCGACGCCCGTCTGGCATTGCTGCCCTGGCCACAGGGCCGCAGCACAGCACTGTCCTCAGGCCCTGCGCCTGCACCGGCCTCTGTGCCTGCCAGGACTGTGCTTCAGATGGGAGAACTTCGCGTTCCCATCTGTTTTTATTAAAACATTATGTGCTGTCTTTCAGTGATTTCAAAGACAAAAGTATAGGATTCTAGAATTGGAAACAGCCTTTTAGATGTCAGCCCCCTTGTTTCTCCACCTGTAGAGTGAAGTCAGACAGGGGGAGCGAGGTCCCCAAGCCTATACAGGCTCTAACCAGCCAGTTGGCCACAGTCTCAGATTCACAACTCTGGGCCTCGGAGTCTGGTTTTGGACCCTGGTGCTGGGATGCACCCCAGCTTGGACTTGTGCAGGATCTCCACCCAACTTTTATTTTTAAGCCCGTTCGTTCCGCTGGCAAAGGTCCACATAGAGTACAGTATCTCCCATGAACCCGGAGAAAGGGGTCAAGATCATTCCAACTGCAAATGCAAGCTGCTCAGCCCTAGTGCCTGTACCTGGCAGGAAGTCGCTTTTTCAAAAAAATTTTTTCCAATAGTGTACTCTTAACTCAGCATTATATTTTGTTCCCTAAGGCTGTAGCCAAGTGATGTGTTTTCATGACTTGAAGATAAATATCATCATGAAGTGTGAAATTGTTTTCTTTTGCTCCAGACCCTTAAGAGATTTGGAAAGAGAAATCTGTTTTGAATAGCCTCTCTCTTCCTGTCCTATTGTTTGAAGGAGACATCTGATTCCCATTATCTAGCCATAAATATCAATGAGGTCAATTTCGGCTCCACCCCAGAAAGTTGTAAACAGCTTGGGACCTGTTTGTGGAGGTCTCCCTTTCCTACTGGTGATGGTGCCAAAGAATGAGAGATGGCTCACCAGGACTTGCACGTAGTACAATCCTCAAGTCACAGAGGTTTTGATCTTTTAAGTAATTTGACCTACACGGAACCTGATTTTCACTGCATAAAATTAAGCATCTTTAGTGATTTCATTCATATCCTTGCAGGGAGAGTCAGTACTGTGTGCCCCAGAAAAGAGTCCTGATTTTGTTGAAAATGAAAATTCAATTTATAGTGGGAAAGTTAGTTTATTGTTTGTGTTCAGAAACCTCTCCTTTTTATCTTCTGAGAGTTACCTCAGAAAAATGCATTCTGGTTTTACTTCTTGGAAGTTTTGTGAATTGTAGTCATTTTTATCTCTAGGTAAAACTCAGTACTAAATATTTTTAATTATTGTAGGCAGTGCATGTGATTTTCCCAAAATAAAATTTTTAATAATCTGAAGTGGGTCACTTGCCTTTACTCTAAAAAGGAGTTTCTTGGTTGTACCTCGAAGGCTAATGCTTAAATTCACTCACAAACTAGGCATGAGGTATTTTTTCTTTCAAAACTAATATTCCACAATATAACATATGTGTTTGTAACTCTGTTACATACCAAAGAAATATCATGTGCATATATTTTTCTAAAGAAGCTACTTCAGAGATCTGTGTGTAGAATAGGGAAGTAGTGTTGTGGGTTTATTTGTGTGACTACTATTCGTGCTGCTTTATTTCAGGTTTTCACTTTACTGGGGATTTTTTCCTCCCAGGTGTTATTTCACAGTTTAGCAGGCATTCAGATGGAGAGGTGGTGAGATACAAGGACGGCCACCAGGGCTTTTCATCAGAATAAAGGCTGCCAGCAGCTGTGAAAGAGTCCCCAGAGAAGGCATGCAGTGTCCAGAGCTCCCTTTTACTTGCCTTCGAAACACAAATTCTTTTTTCCAACCATTTCATCCTTTTCTTACATTTGATGTGTGCCAATTTTAAAACACTCCTCCTTCTGCAGCAGTTATCACCACCTTGTCTGATGAACATCCACAGAAACTCCAGGCAGCTGCTGTCAATGCCAGCGATACTTGGTAGGAGATGCCAACTGCCCAGATTGCAGTTATCTATGGGTGTTCCCGAGACAGATGATCTGGTGCCATGGCCTGTAGTTGCTCTCACCTTCTTAGAGTGTGGCTTTGCATGAATGCAGTTGTCCAATCCCTAATCCTGCAAGTGGGGGGCAGGGGAGCAGAGACACAGAGAGCCTTCCAGGGTTCCCTGAAGGGGCCCACATGCACCAGGCTATAATCCAAAGTCAGTGGAAAATGTTGTTTCTCCACATACCCATAGACAGAGCTCTGGTAAGTGCTTTGAATGGTCAGTTTTGAATGGTTAGTATTTGAAGAGTGGCAAGAACATCAAAAGATCTCCTTCAATTCATCTTTCTGTGACTTCCATCCAAATGGTAAGGCAGACTGACAAATCAAAGCCAACAGGACTGAAAGGTAGTAAGACAGTTTTTAAAAGATTTCCTGAGAAAAACAACAAAAGGCGTGCTTTTTTAAGAATCTATCCTCTGACTAGTGATAAATAAATGCCTTTTTGTTTCTCTTTCTCTATTGAAAGGAATTGCTAGTCTTCTAGTGAACCCTTCATTGTTTGGGTCTTTCTGTTTTCTTTTGTATGTACGTGGTCCTGCGACTAGAACCCAGGGTTTCATGCATGCTGGGCAAATGTTCTGCCCCTGAGCTGCACTCACAGTCCTTTTTTTATTTTGAGACAAGGTCTTACTAAGTGGTCTGGGATGGCCTTGATCTAATGATCCTCCTGCCTCAGCTTCCTGAGTAGCTGAGGTTATGGGTCTGTGCCAGTGCTTCCAGCTCCCCTACCCCTTTTTGAAGAAAAACAAGTTCATTGAAATGAAAAGCAAGTATGGAAATGTGTGCTGGGGAAATAAATGTAGAGAAAATAGATCCCTCCATGAGGGGTTGAGTGAGGACCACTCATCTAACCAAGAGCTTTTAATGAAGTCCTTTTCTCCTGTTACCAAAATAAGGGTTCAACTCTTCACCTAATCAATTTGGAGAAATCCCAGCCACATGTAATCCTTCATTTACTTTGCCCTCTTCCTACTTCCTCTTCACCTTTGGTGTTGTTAGTGTTCCCAAAGATAACTTCCAAAAAAACCTAAATTTTTCCAACTGTACTTTCAAGTTGGTTTTCTATAAGAAAAAGGTGTTTATTTGGAAACTAAGCAAATTGCATCTACTTTTAACACTTTATCATTGCTGGTAAGCTTTGCTGTTGCCTTAATTCCTATTGAACGGAAGTGGATTGATGTTAGGAATAACATTTGAAGTCATCTTTGTATATATTTTATACCTGTAGCAAGAACGAGAGTAATTTGGTCCTAATGCCTGTTGAAAGTTCTAGAGACAGAGACCTCTGGTCCATCGAGTCTGTGAATTCAGTTCATAATGACCAGGTCACTGTGGCCTCCCTGAACATCTGAATGGGTGGAAATGGTAATTTAGGTTGAATAAGTACAGTACCTGGAAATGGGGGCTGTCTGAAGTGTCACTGCAGCCATGAAGGTGACACTGGAGTTAGATTATGATAAAGAAGGGTCAGTGGAATTTGAAAGGCAGGTCCCATGGGGGCGAGCCTGCACTTTGCAGCTGAGATAAGTTTCGATGTGCTTTGTGCTCCTGTGTCAGAGGACAGCTCTGTGCCACTTGACTATATCCTAGTCCTAATAGCAAAGAATGTATTCGTTGGGGGAGACCCATAGCAGGAAGAATAAAAGGGGTTCTTTTATTGATAAGATGTTAATTAAAAATTCACCATATTTCCAACTCAGTGTAACATTCCAAATCTTCAGGATAAGACTCCAGAGATAATTATTCTCAGGGTTAAAAAGTAGTTTTACTACTTTTGTAAGAGAGACTTCCAGTCTCCAAATATACTTCAGAAGCCCTATGGAGTACAGGAAAAAAGCAGGTCATTCGTGCATGGTGTTTAAGCCTCAAGCAGGGTTCAAGAGGCAGCAGGTCCAGCGTTGCCCTGGCAGATAAAATGGACTTGTGCAAAGCCACTGCCACCCAGAAGTGGAAGGGGCATTAATTATTGGGGTTAAGACACATGCAGGAAGTCACTATCAGTGAGAGAATTCGGGGTCACTGCACAGAGTGACTTATCACAGTCTGTTCAGCAGAATGTCCCAGGGCTTGAGAAATACTTTTCCTGACTTGAGGACTCTGTGCCTTGGTGGGAAGGAGTCCAAACAAGATAGCTGTAGAGAACTACAGATCATCTCGATCTGTGTATCGCACATTTGAGGAGAATATTCTACCACAAGCAGCAAAGCACAAGCAAGGCTGCCCTTTGTTAGTAGAAAATCACTAGCCACAAAATGGTCTCATGTCAAATGTCTGCAAACACTGACTACGCACCTTGTACCTGGTAAAGTACTTGGAGCTTTATGTGCATTATGTCATTTAGCCCTACCAAGCATCAGGAGCTGTTGGTGATACTTTCTCCGCTACTTTATAAATGGAGAGTTGAAGCTCAACAAAGTTAAAAACAAAAGAGCATGTAACATCACACACGGTGGAATATGGATCTGAACTGAGTTATCTGATTTCAAAGCTAGCCTTTAACTCCCATATTGTGTGTCATACGTGGTTGTTTTATCCCATTAGTGTAGGCAGGAAGATACAGGAAGGCCACTATAAAAAATTAGACAAGCAGGAATGTAGCTCACCCATCAATAAGAAGCCTACAGAAAGTTAGATGGACAGAATGAAGCAAAAATAAATAAGAGAAGTGATAAGTTCAGTGAAAGAGAAGTTTCCAGTGAGGGTGGCACCCACCTGGCATTCCTAGTCCTCCGGAGGCTGAGCTACTCCAAGCATGTTGGCAGATCTGGTGACCAGTTAACTTTGAAAACATTCCCACTTTAAAATCTAAATTATTTCTCTTGGAATCAAAGAACTTAGGAATGTATATATGCAGCTTGGGGAGTTTTAGATCTGAAACCCTTTAAAGAATCGAATGGTACATGGCAAAAATTGAAATTATTAAATAACTCTGAAAACCTTAGCCCGACAATGTTCGTAGTGCAAATAAACAAGACGAATGCTTCAGAGAAACCTGCAAAACTCACAGGATAAGGAGTCGAGGAGAAAGGAGGGAGAGGCTGAACCAAAATAGACTAGTCCAGCCACAGGACCCCTCTTTCTGAGGAGTTCTGATCCCTGAAAGAGAATGTAGGGGCCCCTCTGTGCATGCTCAAGTTGGTCTCAGTTGGATTCCTACTGGCACGAACCACACCTTCAGACTCTCCCAGAGATGTGGTCACTGGGAACGTAGAAAGTGCCCCTCACCCACACTTGGTAAAAGCAGAGATGAGTAATGTGTGAGAGACCCCAAGGCTTCAGCATGCACATTGGCTTTTTTGTACCATGTTCCAAATGCTGGTTAATGGGCACTGGCCCTTGTCATAGCAGCTTCAGTAACTGAAGGCATGTGCCTCTCCTGCTGCCCAGCTGCCCTGACTCCCACCTGACCCTGTGAGCTAAAACAGTAGCACTAGCACAATAAAAATACTGATCTCAATATATTTCTGTTTCCTTCACTATCTTTGCCCAGTAGCTGTGTTGTTGGGAAAACAATTATGAGATAGACACAGATAGAATGCAGGGGCAAAGTACATGGGCCTGGACCTCAGGTGCTGGGTTCACATCATGACTCACCTCATTTCTACCTGTGTAGCTCACAGCACTCGTACTTCTTCCTCATCTATAGAGTGGGCTAATACCTATGTCGTAGGGTTACTGAGCAGATTAACTGCAAGCTAACCTAGGACATGGGCAGCATAGGCCCTCCATGTCATAAGTGACCCATAGCTGCTATTGATGGCCCCAGGTTGGTGCTGAAGAGGTTTCACTTTGACATCAAGTTTGGCAAATATTAGATCCTGACCTCTTGGACCAAATGACTAGCTGCATTTACTAATTACTCCACAGACATGGATGAGTATTGGTTCAGCTTCTGCAGGGAGTGGCATCTCTTTTTAAAGGAGCATTGCATTTTGATTAGGAAGACCAGGAAATGCTTGGCATTGGGGTTTCTTTTGAGTAGTGTTATGTGAAGCCTTTCTTTTCCAACATATTCAAAATGTCTCATATTGAGATTAACCTATTACTGGAAAATGGTAATTCCAGTCACAGTTGGAGACAGAGGTCTCAAGGAATAAGACCCAGAACCATGAACCAGATGCAGCAGCACCTGGGCATATGTGATTTCTCCCACCATCACCTGCCCAGGTATCCGTGCCATACCTGGCACATTGGCCAGGAATGATTGGTCACACGCAGTCCTCTAGTGAGTGCTTGCTTTGAAAGTGAGTCTCACCACTGCTTGCCTTACACTGGCCAGATGTGTGTGTTCATTATTTCAGGTGTGAATTACTCCACAGTACAACACCCATGCCTTTTGGCTTAGGTATGCTCACATTCAAGGAGTCATATCTAGAGAGAAACTATCCTGAGGAGGAAATGGTCCCATTCCTGTTGTGGTTACTATAAGTTATCCTCTTCGAGGAATAGTTGCACAGACATGAGGAAGTCTTTCAAAACTAGGCCTTGGGTTTTCTCTGTAGAGCTTTCCAGAATATGCCAAGCATAAATGGGAGGCAGTTGATCCTAGTTTGTATATTTCCTCCCGTCTCACTCATAAAACCAGTACTCTCATGGTTTTCCAAATGTGTATTGTTGTGAAACTCAGCTATTTTCATTTTGCCCGAGGCTGACCGCCAAACTCCTCTTAGTGACTCTGTGTGGCTCAGCTCACATCTATCAAGTACAGATAAATTCTAGTTTATTGTCCAGGTTACTTTTCTCTCATTGCTGAGACAAAATACCTGATGTCCAAAATTAGGGAAGCAAAAGTTTATTTAGCTAACAGTTTTTGGAGGTTTCGGTCCATACTCAGATAGCTCCAAGGCAGGGTGATATGACTGAGGGGCAGCTGTTCATGGTGGCCACAAGCAGCAAGAGCAAATAGGGTAAGAAGGGGAAAATCATGCCTCCTTCCCTCACCTATATTGTATGCAGGATACCAGTCCCTGGGCGGGTGCAGTGCTCATACCACCAATCCCAGCACTAGACGCAGCTGCCCTAGAAAGGCTCACCTCCCATGATCACATGAGGCTTTGGGGGGACATTTAAACAAACCATAACACTTATCCACTCTATGCTTTTGCCCTCTGTACACCTGTGCAAAGCATGGATACATGCAGCCATGAAAAACTCGTGAGGGCAGAGGTCATGACCAGAATTTATGAAAGGGATAGACATACTATAAGAAAACCAGTAAATCTATCACTGTGAAGTTCTACACCTGATTGGGGCGGGGGGAGAAAATGGCACTATTATGAGAAAGAACTAATAGTGGACTAAAGATCAAGGAGGGTCTTCCGCAAAGGTGATAGTTAAGCCACAATTGAGGAAGGCAAACCAAAGTGGGGAAGCTGGGTTTTAAGAGCATCTGAGGCAGGGAGCAGCCATCAAGAAATCATCAAGACCTGGAGGCAGGTCTGTACACCTTGTTCTGCAAACTGGTGGGTGATGAGAGACACAGGAAGAAAAGAAAGCAAGACGTGGTTTCCAAGCCTGGGATTTATTCTTCTGTTCTTAGTGGATGCTAGAGCCAAAAGCAGAATATTGACAATATACATTGTCCTTAAAAGATCTCTTGAAAGACCCACTGGGTGAAGAAGACAGGGTCTCCAGAGCAGGAAGCCCACGGGGAGACTGCTGCATAGCCCAGAGGAGCAGAGATGATGCGAGTTGTGGACTTGAGGCTGCAGAAATGGGGGAATGGGTAGCTTTGGACAGGACCATGGGGGCCTCAAATGCACTTTCAAAGCCAAATCCTGGTTTCCATGGCCTTTCCTTCTGGATTGTGTTTTCCTGTGTGACACAGGTCACAGATCTTTCCTTTTTAACTACCTTAGTGTGTAGTAAAGCTTAGGGACCCAGATCACTCTTGATCCTGAAGCCTTTGTCTGGACTCTGACAAGTCACTGTTTATTTTACAGCCTACCAGGACCTCCTCTGAAAGTATTTATTCTAGACCCGGATCCAGCATCCCTGGTTCACCAGGGCATACTATCTATGTAAGTATCTACTTGTGGGAATGGAAGCTTCTAGGGCAGGTAGGTTTAAGAACTGGAAGGCTGGATGGATAATAGAACCTAATTCAAAATGATTTCTAGTTGTTATGGAATCTAGTTTTCATTTCTGTGTATCAGTTGGTTCAATCATGTCTTCTTTCAGGTAATTCAATTTGTATATGATCATCTCATCTAAAGATGACTTCAAAGATGACAGTAATATGAAGCAGGATTTAAATTGTTATACCTGGGCTGGGGATTTAGATCAGCGGCATTAAGTGCCTGCCTGGCAAGTTTGAGGTCGTGAGTTTGATCCCCGGTTACATAAATAAATAAATAAATAAATAAATAAATAAACCTAATTACATATAGACACTTATAGATTCACTATACATTTATAGAGCTACTATTGGGTACTCTTAAATTCTGACATGAAGGTATTTAAATACTTAATTCATTAAATATGCAATTCTTGGTTTTAGCTAGCTGGCAGGATTTTTTGACCACCTCTTTGTGATTTTTTTTCCTTTACTATACTTTAGGAAAGTATTCTTAAGATTTACATATTTCTCTTGTTAATGAGTTCTATACAGACTTTTTCTTAAACTTTTGTTAATTTTAAAAAACAATTTACAGGTGATGTAAATTGGCAGTTTTCTGAAATCTATGACCTTGCTAAGGATGGTGTCGTGGCTTGTTTTAAGGGTCATCACATTTTAAACAAGTCATTAAAAGCGCTCTCACATAATTTCTCCAAGAAGTAAGATTGCAGAGTAACTTTTGTTTCTGTTCAACTTTACCAGGCAAAAGTAGACAATGAAATCCTGGATTACAAGGATTTAGCAGCCATTCCCAAGGTCAAGGCAATCTACGACATTGAGCGTCCAGACCTTATTAGCTACGAGCCTTTCTACAGTTCAGGCTACGATGACAAACAGGAGAGACAGAGCCTTGGAGAGGTAACACATTTCTAGTGGCTATGAGGTTTACAACAATTCCCTTTTTTTTAGTTCCATGCATAAAAATTACTATTTAGCATTTAAATCAATCTTTCCATTGCCTACTACTTGCGGATTTCCGTACCAGGTTCTATGAAATATTCAGAAACCTGTCACATGATTGCAGCCCTAGGGGAAGTCAAAAAGACTTCCCCTGGGAGAGTTGACCAGCTGCATACAAACCAACAGTGAAGGGTCAGTCAGGTCCTGTGACAATCTAGCCCTGTGCTCAGATGAGTGCTGAAGTTGACAAGGGAGGGGAGAGTCTTCTGGGGTCTTGATCTTGACCAGTTGGAAGTATATTTATGGAGATCATGGGGAGAAATAACATTCCACCCTAAATATTGGTAGCTGTAGTTTTCAGCAGTTTAACATAGTTAAAATATTTAAGAAAAGAGAAAGTGGAGAGAATAGACTGATGGTTACAGCACAGTGGTAGGAGCAAGGGCTATGGGATCAAATTACCTGGCCCAACTCAGGCATCATTGCACTTGTAAATGCTGAGCAGATAGCAGCTACTACAGTTGTTAACCTGTGCTCTCCAGGCTGGTTAGTGCCTGGCCCGCGGACCACTCCTCTGCTGGACAACAGCATCTCTGGGCTCCCTTCTCTGGGCCTTCTTTGCATAGTGCACCCCAAGGTTGGGATTACTGTTAACCTTCTACCCAGCTCTCTTGGGCTCTGGTCTGTTTCCCCTGCCTATTGAACCCCTAAATTTTTCCCCCTTCACTGTTTTGTTCTCGTGCTATGGGTTGACCTCAGAGCCTAAGCAGGCCAGGTACATGCTCTGCTACATAGCTCAGCACCCTCTTTCATTTTAAAATTGGAGTCATCTATAGACTGATTCAGTTCCATTCGGAGAGGTGCTGTCCTAACAGTGGACTCCTCAGCCATTCGGCCAAGGTTAAACCCAATCGTGAATAGCCTGCAGCGTCACAGTGCTCCTCAGGCTTCCTGAGATGAAGAAAAGGCATGAAAATGAGGTGACTGCGTGTCTTTTTTTCTCAGCTATATACATATAATGAGTGCTTTACAATTGTGCTGATTTATATTTGTATAGCATTCCTTGAATTTATTTTGTAATCTGGGTTTTGCCCTGGAAAGTGAGATTCATTTTCATGTAGTGCTACCTAGTGGTAGCTGTGCTATCTTGCATCTCTGGCAGCTCGGCCACAGGACTCAGCAGAGTCACAGTGGATCAAGGGCAAGTCACATAACAAGGAGGAGCCGAGTTTTGTTTATGGTGTTACGGACTTTTGTGTTTGCATGTGTTTTCTGTTGGCTCCATTTAGGGTAGTAAAATACCACTCAAGAGTTTGGACTTTGAATTGAAATTTTCCACATTTGTAACCAGACTAACTAACCATATGACTTTGGGAAAATTATATACATCAGTCTCACCCCAGACTCAAGGTAGAGAACAGTAATACTACCTCCAAAGGTTTTATGTAAGGAGTATGTGAGATCTTCGGATTAGAACAGCATTGGAGACACAGTAACAAAATGCTCAAAAGCGCTGGCTGCTCTCTTAATCAGCACTGTTCCAGTTATAACCTGAAGAAGTGACCTGTGGTTCTCTTGATACATAAAAAATATTCCTTTGAAGCAGAAATCAGACATATTAGTGAGCTCAGTCCCCACCATGTGGCTCTCAAGCATAGTAAACATGGCAAGCTATTTATTTATAGCTTGTATTTTTCCATTAGTTATTAAAACCTCTCTTCTAGAATCCATCTGTGGCTGTTTTAGAGACACAGGAAGAGTAAATGTAAAGCTTTGTGGTGCCACCCATGCCTTCAGAGGGTTGGAGTGGGCTGGATCTAGAAGCTCACTTTCAGAGCAAGGGCAGAACTGGCTCCTGCCCGCAGGGAAGGCCCCTCCCTCAGCAGAGATGCCCTAGAGATGGACCACAGCATGGCATGCAGGAGAACCTGCCAGCTGAATTGAAATTCAAAAACTAAGAGATCTGTCCCTGGATGTGTCCTCCAGAATTCTGTCTGGGTTGCATTTCTAGTTGAAGGGATTTTGCATCATAATTAGAATTACAAACATTTCATTTAGGAAATATTCACTAAGCATCTAACATGTGAGAATGCATCTCACCACTGGCATACAGAGTTAAAAATGAAGAGTCTTAAACCCTTGCAGAGCTTACAACACCATATGGGAGACAGTAAGTAAGCAGATATAGTAGAATTCTGTAGGGAGATAGTGCTAGGGTGAAAAAATAAAGTAAGAAGAAGCAAGCCAGCGTGGTGTCTAAGTGAAGGATGGGCTGCAGAGGAGACCGCGAGGGCACAGGCCGAGAGGTGACACAGGGTCTGGCCTGTTGATGGCCCCGAGGAAACCTGTGCCTGGGAAGATGAAGGCTGGGCAGTGTGGGCAGCTGAGGCAGCCAGGATGGCACCCTGGGTGCACGCTGTCATGCCTGCCATACAAACTATGTTATAGTGACTGCTGTGCTTATAGTTTATTTAATTTTTTAAATTTTTAAAAATTTTAAAGGTAGTAAAATCCAACAAAACAAAACAGAACAAAGCCAATCAAAACAAATCAGCAAGATTAGTACCAAACTTCAAAGCAGAATTCTAGGAAAACAACAGTAGCTACCATAGTATATCTCGTTATCTTCACAGTAGTTGTCCATTCCATCAGGTATAGCAAAATCAATCCAAAAACAAAACAGGATAAAACCGATCAGAACAGAATATTGAATAAAGTAAAACAATGAGAACAAAGCAAAACAGTGAGAACAATATTGGATTTCAAAGACAAGCTAGAAGGAAATCCCCCATATTTGCTATATTGCGTACTGTTGTCCTCCCAAGAGATGCTCAGACCGCTGGCCCCAGGTCAGCATAATCAACCAAACAATACAGGCACTTAGTTGCTTTATGTGCCTTAGTTGCTATCAGCTCAGCCTGTCCTTTGCACTAGTCGGTTGATGGGGGAGAAGAGGGGTTGATTCTCTGCCCACCCACCAGTGGGCTTACAGGAAGCACTGACTTTTCTCTTCCTGGAAGCTGCACAGCGTGGCTTCTTGTTACCTCTCCCAGTCCCAGCATGCTTAAAAACCACATTTACAGAATCTTATGTCTTTATAAATGGTGAAACCCATAGCAGTAAACTGAACATTGTGGTCTCCCAAGACCTCAGCATATTTATTAAATTAACAATATTATTAACAGTGTTATTAACTAAAACTATGGTTCCTAGGCAGAAATGTGCACCAGAATCTCCAGCGACTGTGTTAAAATTTATGATCAGCCCACTACACACTGGCTATCAGGGGAAAGACAGATAGGGGCTGCTGGGGCGGATATGTAAAATGTTTCTGGCCGATTCTGATGATTAACTCTAATTCAAACTAGTCAAGAGTTACGAACTGTGACTTTGAAATTCTCTCTTTTGTTCCAGTCTCCAAGGACATTGTCTCCTACTCCATCAGCAGAAGTGAGTACCATCTAATTATGGAATTGGGGAGTTGCTTGGACCTTGCCTAGGTTGGAATATTTGAAAAAATACATAAAACACTATGAAGCAGAAAAACTATGATCTTACAGTTCCTGTGGGGATTACTTCTGTATGATAGGACCATAGGACTATAGTACATTTCTTTCTGTAAAGGTGGTTTCCCAGTGATCTGAGCCTGTGCCTCTTAAGTAGTGGGGAAAATGTTTGTGGAGATCAAAGTCATTGTCTAGTATGGAGCTGTCTGTCTGCCCTTGTCTACAGCTGACTGATCGGAGCCCTAACAGACTAGCTCATCTGAAATTGGCAGCAGTGGTCCTAATGTAATCCATAAGCAGAACCTTTTTTTTTTTTGTACTGAGGTTCAAGATCTGAACCTTCACATCTGTGGTTTTTTTTTTTTTTAATTTTTTTAATTTTGAGATAGCCAGGGATATAGTTCAGCAGCACAGAGCCTGCTAGCAAGTGTGAAATCTTGAGTTCGATTGCTGGCACCAAAAGAGTTTTTTTTTAATTTTTTTTTTTTAATTTTAAAGAAATTAAGACAAAAGAGGACGTAACAAAGCAGATCAGATAAGAACAATACAAGCAACACAGCATTTTCCCACAAGACAACCCATAATTAATAGTAACTACCATGTTTCTTTCTTTGAAATAGTTGAGCTTAACTTCATATACGATACTATCAAACATAACAAAACAGTATAAAACCATTCAAGAGAATGAAAGCATCACAGGGCTTTCAAAACCAAATGGCAGAGAATGAACAATGGCTACTATATTATCTCATTTTCCATAGAAAATTTGTTTATCCTATCACACATAATAATATCCAATAAGATATGGATATGATAGATACATGATAGAACATGATAGATACATGATAGAACCAAAGGAAACAGAAGAACAAAAGCATGGCAGGACTTCAAAGTAAGATGATATTAAATCAGCACTGGCTATTCTAATGTCTTTTATTTTCTTCAAAATAGCTATTCATACTATCGCAGATAATAAAATCAAACCAGGATATAACCATTCCAACTAATGAATGCAAACATTATAAGGCTTCAAAGCAATGTAATGGGGAATCATGATTACCATAAACTCTTATGTACTCTTACCATTTCTTACACTACAGAGACTATATGTACATGCGAGTTTGATTTATTTTGCTTATGAGTATGGTCTCAAGTTGTGTCTAGTTATTTATAAATGTATCAATGTGATCATTCTTTATAGCTGAGTAATACTCTATTGTATACAAATACAACAACTTTTTTATCCATTCCTCAGTTGATGGACACTTAGGTTGTTTCCAAGATCTGGCTATTACAAATTGTGCTGCTATAAATATGGGTGCATATATATCACTGTGGTATGATGTTTTCGGTTCTTCTGAGAATATGCCTAGAAGTGGGATAGCTGGGTCAAATGGGACTTCCAATCCTAGCTTTTGAGGAGTCTCCAGACTCCTCAAATCTCCACAGTGGTTGCACCAGCCTACACTCCCACCAACAGTGCAGGGGTGTTCCTTTTTCCCCACAGCCTCTCCAGCATTTGTTGTTGGTAGTTTTCTTGATCCTGGCTAGGTTTTTTTTTTTTTTTTTTTTTTTTTTGAGACAAGATATCACTGACTAGCTACATTGCCTCCACCGAGCTCAAATTTTTGAACCTCCTGCCTCAACCTCCTAGACTGCTGGGATTAGAGACACGCCCCACCATGCCTGACTTTTTTTCAGGGACATTTACTTAAGATGGTATAAAATTAGTGGTCTGACCTTAAAGCCAAGCATCTTTCTCAGTACTCCATTATAAAACTAGACTAATTCAGGGACTATCTGTAACTTGAAATAGGAAAAAATTCCATAATATTTTCATGTTTATAGCTGAGTGCTATGAATCATTAATTTCTATTACTGCTTTAATAATTTACAGCTGAAATTGGGAAGCTTTAACTTCTCTTAGTGACCAGTTGCAAGGATGAGGTACATCATTTGGAGACTTACTGTTTTGTTGTTATCACTTGATTTATTAAGTCAATTTAAGGATATAGCTAACGTTCCTTTACTCCTTACTTTTAGACTTTACAAAACTGGTTAATGAGGTTTTAATTTAGTCATTATTGGTGCTGTCTTTCAAAATCTTTTTTACTATGCTAGCAGAAACTTCAGAAGACAACTGATTCCTAACATATGAAGCATTCTTTGTGTTCTTCTGATGTTGATGGTTTTATATTTTGGATTTTTTGTGCCTATTACCTAATGTCTCCTTTTCTGGGTTGACATAAATGATATACTCATGCTACCATTAAATTCCACTGAATTATGTTGTGTCATAATTTAATCTCCAATTAGTTAAATGTAGTACTCATATTTGCTTTTATGAATATTGGTAATATAAAAGTCTTAGAATAAATTATTCTCCTTAAAGATCATTTTAAATTATTTTTTGGCCTGTGTTTCCCAAGGTAAGAAGTAGAATTACTGGCCGTAAATCAACTACAGGTCCTGGAGCATCAAATGAAAATGTCACCAAATCAGCGCTCTAGGTGCTGTGAATTGGTGGTCAAGCATGGGCAAGAGTAGAGTCAGGATCCTAGTTCCAAAAAGAACCCCACCTGTCCTAGCCATGCACCTAACATGGGCCTCTCACCAGCTTGGAGTCTGTTTCTACATCAGTCTACTTCAGGAAGAGACTGACGTGCAAACCTGGTGTAGGTGAACATAATTGTAAGACTGAAGAAACATACTGTAAATGTGTGCATTGGAATTACCTCCTTTCCCACATCTCTGCAAGGGTTGGAATTTATAATTTTTCATCTTAAGATTTTAGTTCCAAGGACTGTGAAACCAAAATGCAATAGCCACCTAATGCTGGCCAGTATACATATTTATGAAACAACCCCCAATGAAAAAAACCAGACATGATCGCTTCTCAGCAGTGTTTGTGGACAGTTTCACTGGGAAATGCTACAGCTGATGTGCTTTGTGCTCATAGTTTCTCATACTTTATCTCCAGAGCTACCAGGATGTTCGGGATCGGATGATCCACCGGTCCACCAGCCAGGGCTCCATCAACTCCCCTGTGTACAGCCGCCACAGTTACACTCCGACTACGTCACGCTCACCCCAGCATTTCCACAGACCCGGTAAGGGCCGCTGATCCTGGGATCCACTCTGCATAATAAGCTGCATTATTGCGTGTGTGTGTGTGTGTGTGTGTGTGTGTGTGTGTGTGTGTGTGTGTGTGTGTGTGTGACTCCTCCTCCCTCACTGACAGTCTACTGAAAAATCTGATTGCTAAGCATTTCTACTCCGCTCCCAGAACAAAATGAAAATTGGTAGCCACTTGTATTATGTATTATGGCTTTTCCTGATCTATCAGTCCTGTTGTGGCTATTTTCATTTTGATTTATTAAATTACATTTAGATAGTGAAGTGCTAAAAACAAATGATATTGTTTGCCCTATGGTGAACATCTCATCGCTCTGAGACTTAAAATGAAGATTTCCAAAATAAAATTTTATGTCCTTTTTAGGCAGATCAATATCAGCTAAAATCTAGTATTAACCATTTACTGACCAGTTGTTTATAATCCCTGTGTCCAGACACAGTGAAGATGCAGGGTTGTACTAGGTAACTTTTGAGATAACTTCCAGCCATAGGATTTTGAATCAGATTTGGAGAACATAAAAACTTCAAGGATGTACTGCCATGGAGAATGTTACATAGTTAGGAGACATTAGTTGACAGTATCTGTAGAGAATGTCACCCCTGTGTCCCTCAGTGGGGTCATGTGTGGGTGGCAGATGGATGGAGATATCCCTAGACAGATCCAGGCTTTCTTCAGAAAGAGTCACAGGGAGGATTTTAACCTGTAAACAAACATAGTAATGATACACATCTCTGAAGACTTCATTTTAAGCTTCTTGCTTCTGACTAGCTTGATGAGAACAAATTCACTCAATGTTAACTTTTTAATAAAATGTACAAGAAATAAAAAGAAAGAAATCAACAATGTGAAGGCTACAATGTTCTCCCTAAAGTTCTGCATTTAACACAAAAGATTGAAAAGACTGTATCCTTTCATAATGTATCCATTTCTCCAAGTGTACATATGTATGTATTAACTAGTATCTACTGGATTTTATTAAACCCAAGTTTTCAGGATATCTCCTTCCTTTTAATGCACAGCTCTGCTGATTTTATTCGTGCCCTGACATGGGTTCAATTTAAGCCACCGTCTCTCTAGGTGATATGCTTGTACCGAGTGGCTGGCAAGCCACACTGCTTCTCCTAAGAGCTCCTGTCCTTAGCAAGCAGTAGGAAGTTTCCATCCCAGTCATGGTTCTGATGCCAACACTGTGCTTTCTCATTGGTCTTATGTATATGCGTGACACCAAGTATTAGGTTTTACAGTAGTTTTTGAGGCCTACCCGTCCATTGGTAAACTTACATCCTCCTTGTGATCCATATGCAACACTCCAAAGTGTTGCCCACTAAATTCCAGATACCAGGCGATGATTTCCATCTTCTGGGTCTGAGTTCCATTGTACTGGTCCATCCTTCCCCAGCATTTCCGTGCACAGCTGTCGGGACTGTATGTAGCTTTGTCCCTTGTGGAATGCAAACATGTTTTCTTTTATGTAAGTAGAGTAAAATGATTTTCAAAGGGATAGGTGTACAGTTAAAAAAAAAAAAAAAAGACCAAAAAAACCTACCCTTCCCTATAGGTACTTCTTTGCAAGTTTCCTGAAGTGCTTGTCATTTCTATTTGTGTATCAGAGGGTTCTGTTTTGTTAGTGCTTTTTCAAAAAACAGCTTTTGTTGAGCCTGCATGATATGTTGTCTTACCAGAGAATGCCCCGAGGGCCATTCCTCCTCACCACAGCCATTTATTCTCAGTGCGACTCTGTCCCCCTGATCTATCTGCAGATTCTCCCCAAGTCGCCTCATTGTCCAAGGGTGCATTTGTAACCCTTTTTCCTTCCTCCTTTTTCAGATTCCTGATTAACGCTCTTTTTTCCTCCCTTGGAACAAGGCCACTTTCCCTGCACCTGTGTTAATTTCTGTTCTTTTCTGTTTCCCCTCGCCCTGCCCGATCCTTGCGGCACAGAGCTTTTGTCTCCTGGTGTGCAGAGGTTGTCTCACCTGCGCACCAGCAGCTTCAGCTCCGCCCACGGCGACTCCCGTCCCAACCCCCCCTTCAGACACCACTTCCTCCCCCATGTGAAAGGTAAGGAGGCAGGCCTCGGCAGGCTCCCTGTACTGGAGATTTATTAGCACCCTGGCAAGGCTAATAAGGTGTATCTCCAACAGTTCCTGCTACCGAGCTTCTGACCCATCAGCATGCCAGCTTGCGTCATGACTTAACCCAAAGATGGCCTTAGAACTGGCACTGTGTCTTGCATTCTGAAGGATGTGTCATTTCTAAGGGCTCTCAATGAAGAAACAGAAAGTATATTTCACTGTAAAATTTATCATCTACCACTTAGGAAAAAAGCATGCTTTATTTATTTATTTATTTTTTTTATCAAAAGCAAAATATGTAGTTGGTGTATTTTCGGGGTTTAGTGTGGAAGATGTCTCAGCTAAGCACAGTGGTATTTATAATGAATGCCCAAAAGCCAGCCAGTGGTGATAAGCCATGCTACTGTGGTAACATGTTTGGGCAGCATATAAATGATCTGTGACAGTCTAACTTCAGTCTCTCTCTTTGAGCCAATTCTCAGAGCACTTTGCTTTTGATTTGTCCTGATTTCCATCTGATGGAGAAGAGTTTTCTGTTCCTGCCTCACATTTCTGCCCTCTTCCCTTCATAACATTTCTGTTGTTTTCTTCATTGCTGCTTAAACGCTTCTGAGCCAGTTCTCTCCGCCTGTGGGGAAGCCAAGAAGCTATGGAGAGGCCATAATTTAAATTAAGTATGAGCTCCCAGAGGGATGCCCGCTTGTTCCTTAGTCTTAATTTGAGCTAAATTAACCAACAAAATTAGCAGGGGGAGGCAAGCACAGACGTTACCATGAATCGAATCACAATCTTAAGAGCTGCCACCCAGTGCTCCCTCACTGATGCATTTATGAAGTAGCCAGAATGTTGCTCTAGTTCCTGGACTCTCAGTCTACCCAGGTGGTTTCTTTTAGCTCACTAGGGTTTTTGAGCAACTAAATGCTACAGTGTAGATGTACTGAACTTTTCAGTATGCAGTTACTTTACAAATGTGCTATTTCAGCGTTTTCTGTGCTTCAAAAATAATATCGCCAGTGTGCTTATTGGAGACCCACACCATTTGCCATTAGCAGATGTTTTTGGTAAGCACAGCACTTTCTAAAATTCTTGACAGAGTATTTAAAACCTAGTTGCTAATTAGTATTTCGGGAGAATTTTTTTATCGTGTAAATGTTGAGATGATACTTTTGAGAATGCTCGTAAGGTCTTAAAGAAATTATAGGGGCTGAGGATTTAGCTCAGTGGCATAAACACCTCCCTGGCAAGCATAAGGTCATGAGTTTGATCCCCACTACCAAAAAAGAAAGATAGAAAGAAAGAAAGAAATTATTGAATAAAAGTGTATATTCTTAATACAATTTAATATAAAAGCCCTTGGCCAAATTGATTATAGTTATTGCTAACATTAAAGAGAAGAATGCATTTTTGATGATTAGGATGTAAGCTTTCTTATTTGGTTATTATATTTCATCTTTCAGAATGCAGAATGAAAACACATAATGGATCCTATAAAGTTTTATAAAGTTTGCACAAAATGTCAGTGATTAAAATACTTCGCCTATCTGTGAATCACCACAGAAGAAACAGCCTAGTGACACTGGCATCTTGGACTTAAATACTGTCTCTGTCACTTGCTGGCTGTGTGACCTAGTGTTGCTACCCTTTTGAGTATTGCTTGCATTGTCTGTGGACAGGAAGGGACAGGCCTGGGTCCTACATCATTAAGCGGTGTGAGGTGACGAGCCCTAGTGCATGGTACACCCTGGTCAGCGTGAGGCTCTTGAAGCAGTTCTGATCCCATCTTCCCATTTGCTTTTCATAGCACCCCTGGGAAACGGGCCCAGCAGAAAGACAGAAGGGCAGAGGTCTCACTTTATAACTGGCCACAGGCTCCCCGCTAGCAAGAGGCAGCACCCAGACTAAACCCCAGTCCTTCTTATTCCCAAGAGTGCTTGTTCACCTTAGGCAGCCTGAGGGGTGAACCCAGGACCCTTGAACTAAATTCTCGACCTTATGTATTCATTTAGAAGTAGGGTGTCTCTTAATTGTGATCACCAGTTGATCAAAATGGCTAGTGGATATTCCTGTCTCAGTCTCAGAGTCCTGTGAGTACCAAAGGCACTCGGCCATGAAATAGAATTTTTAAAACAATCTTTTATTTTACATCTATTTTTAACCAGAAAATTGCATTTTTACTGATGCTAGTACCCCAAAAGACCTATTCATTTATATTACAGAATCAGTTTTTTTACTTTATAGCAAAAATATCAAATGGTTATAGAAATTATAGTACCTCTGTGTGCCATGGTATATTGTTTAAAATGTAGACACACATTGTTTTCTGTTTTCTTTGATGGTGAAGTTTTGATGCAGATATCATGAGTTGAAATTACAAAAACCACTAGGACAAAAGGAATTAAAATGACCCTTAACTTACACTTTCAAAAATAGCCAACGATCTCCCTTTCATTTTCTTTTTAACTGGATATGTGCCTATATTTTGTTCTTATAAAATATTCTGCTGTACATTTTAAAAACACGTAACAGTACAAGCTTTTTTTTTAACTGAAGGAACTTTTTGCTAACCTAAAAATGTATAAAGGTATTGTTATAGAAACCTACTGGTTTTGAAAGGATGAATGCTGCTTTTTCAAGGGATCGCTTCTTGGGTATTTTGAAAAGCATATCCATTTTCAAGGAGGACCTCTCTAGCACTTGGAAATTTCAAAATGGAGGAAATTTACAGCCCTTTGAGACATAGAAACAAGGGATCTTTCAAATGGGGCAGCAGCACCTAGGTTCTTCTGTGACCCTGATTTGCACATTTACTTTGTACCTTGGAGCTTGACTTGTGATCTCATAGGGCAGTTATTTGTGTAAATGGATGTGAGCTGGGGAATCAATTCACAGTAGGATAACCATCTCAGACAAGAAGCAGCAGGGCCCTTGCCACCCTGGCAGCAGGAAGCCCAGCCTCTGTGATCCAAGTACACTTCTGGTCCTTGTTTCTTATGCATGTGGCCCAGCCCCCTGGGGTTCACTGAGCTGAGGAGCCTGCGTGGGGCACAACTAAGATGCATGTCACAGGCCATCTCTCTGCTTCATTGGCTTCCCCATTCATTCCCTGTGGCACCCATCTGGTTTTAAGGTTCGTGTTTTTATTTCTCTAACCTTCCTTGCAGCCTTGATCTTTATCGTGTGTCATTGTTGGGCCTTTAGGACAACTTATGCCAAAAGATTTGCAAAAACTATTTTCACTTTGTTCTGGACTATGTTTGTGCAACATTTAATGGGCTCCTTTTCCTTTAAGTTTGACTTGTGAATGGAAGATGACCTAGATTAAGTCTCTTTGATAGAAATGGTTGCTATTTGCCATAGATTTGAGTTACTATGATACAAACACAAATTCAGTATTACTGAATAAATAATTTTTAAGCCTCTTTTTGGAGTTTTAGGCCCTCTGATTGCTGAAAGCCCAGTAATATGAAACTCTGTCACAAAATATTCTAGATGCTGCCATCCTTAAGGCCCCTTGCAAATGCATGTTTATATTTTTGGAATATAAGCACATGGTCCTGAAAGCCAGACAATGCTGTAGCAGTTTTAGCTACAGAATCATACATCTCCACCTCTATTCAGGCTCTTGTGGTACCAAGAAGAATGAAATTGAAGAAGGCATTTGAATTCATATTTGCAGTGAGAACCCAGCAAATGATTGATCTCTCAAGTACTAAAATAATTGCCCTATTAGGGTAATGGGCAAGAAGCTAAAACTTAAGGCCAAGAAATATAAATATGGGATTAATTTATCATAGTAGCTAAGGTCACTAAAAAATTTAGGATGACTCAACCCAAGGACCGATCTAAGGGACAAAACAACTATAAGTGTGATATGTGCACTATCATGTGATATATGAGTGTACACATACACAGTTATGCATAGATTAGTATACATTTTTAGAAGTATCTTATTCCAGGCTAATGAGTAATGGCAGCAGTGATGATGATGATGATGATGATGTTGATGATGATGATACTGATACTTTTTGAATACATTTCAGCTGATGCTCCATTCTTTAGTTTTCCCAAGTAAGGAGCTAAAGCTCAAAATTTTCTGCCAGAGTGGAGTTAAAGGTTATATCATTTAAAGATAAGATGTTTATGTTAGAAAAAAGAGCCACACCCAGTTTGTGAAAACATTCAGCCAGAATTCATACATTGGGAATTCTGGCACCTCCTCCAGGAGGCCTTCCAGAGACTTTGTGTACATGTACACATATTTATGCACATAAATATGTCCACAACTTACCTGGGAAAGGATGGGCCTCTGCTGCCACCTGCGGCAGAGTCAGATTGACAAAAATATTTTAATACTCAGACAAATGTCTAATTCTGACCACCTTCAACCTTTGTGTCTTACATATGCAGATATTTTTGCATATGCATGATTTTTGCAGTTAATAATTAGCAAAACAGGTTCAATGGAATTTCATCTGATCAGTTATAAGGTCACTACAGTGAGAGGTGAAGGATTAAGCGCAAGGAGCAGTGTGATTCAGAAGCAATAGTGGCCAGCAGCCAGGAGACACAGAAAGCGTCTTCAAAAGACCAGTAAAGATAAAGCAAGAAAGGGGAGGTTTTCTGTGCTGCCTTCTGAGAAAAGCTCCAAGAAGTATTCTTTTCAGTTATGAGTTGTTGTTAATAATTTTCTAATGTTCATAGGATTAAAGGATTCTTCTGAAGTAAACTACCAAGGATGAATAGAATGAGAAAGCTGTAAAGGGGGTTGCTGCTGTGATCTCATTGCTCTATCTGGCTTATTTTAATTAAGAGTTTGGAGAGGATGATAATTAATTCTGCAGCAGTGCTTGCTAAGTTAGGCCATAAGCACCTGTAGAATTAGTTGACCTCTTTCGGATATACATTCACATTTATTAAGCACTTACTTAGGCCCAGCAATAGGCCGAGCACCGAGGAGGAGAAAGCGGACCCTGTTCTAATTTAGCTGTTCTAATACAGCATCTCAGTGCAAGTGATAACCTTCCTGCTCGTGCTCACCCCTACCCAGTTTTTTATGTACAGTTTTTTTAAACGTGAGCTACTTCCTGCTCTTTGGGAAAGTAAAATTAAATGAGATCACCTTTTCATAAATTAGCAGTTTGTGCTTTTACACTGAGCGATAGCCTCAACACAACACCCCCCCCCCCCCCCCGTTAATTTTTCACTTTGAACCAAGGTCTTGCTCAGTCGGTAAGTTGCCAGGCTGGACTTGAATCCATCCTTCTGTGTCAGCCTCTGCAGTGCTGGAGCTACAGTCAGTATCACCACACCCAACTGTCAGTGAAGCTTGTTAATAAATGAGTAGTTTGGAATGCTTCATAATTTTTGAAAGCTAGTATTTGGCTTAATAGATCAAATCAACATTATGACATAGTGCTGGGAGCTGGATGCTAAAGAGTCGTGAGAAGAGGCAGAAGCTTCAGAATAACCGCCAAGAGCCTACAGTCTAAATTTGAGCTAATAACAAGTTCCCATCTCATGTTTGCAGTGTATTATTGATCATTTGGTAGATATCTGGTCTCTGGGTACCTAAACATGTACAAATTGACAAAATAAAACTATTCAGTATTTTTTGCAATAATATCTTACTATATAGTTCAGTCTGGCCTTGAATTCACAGCACTCTTTCTGCCTCAGCCCCCCAGATATTCCAATTATTATGCCCAGCTATTCAACACATTTTAGAACTCTAACAACTCTGTCATACTTTTCTGGTCAAAGGAAAATGTGATTTGAAATTAGCTAGAACTCTGTCTGCTAATGATCTATTTACTTAAAATTATTAGCATTAATGGTTACATAAATTGGACTTTTTTAAATTGGAAACTTTTGCACTTCAGGGGTTACCATCATGAAAGTGAAAAGAAAACCTACAGAATGGAAAAACGTGTAAATCATGTCTGATAAGATGCATCCCAGGATATATAAATGTCACAATTTGAAAGTAATTAGCATTAAAACTCATTAATTTTTAATAGCCCCGCATCTTCTGTTTTATTCTTGGGGAAGGATATTTGCCCAGATGTGTGGTATAAATTTGAGCAGTAGCTAGTCTCTTTCTAGTTGGCAGAAACTTCTGTTCACCCCTGCAGTTCCCCGCTGAGGTTATGAGGGGTGATGGTGGCTCTGGAGGCTTCTGCAGCTGCATCCTGACTTTGTCCTCCAAGAACACTTGTTCTGTCCAGCAGTGGCCAGTCCTGAACCCTGCCACACCATCCTTGTTCAGTGTTCCTGCCTTTCCAAATGTGGGCTGTCTTAGCCCCTGGCAGAGCTTCCTCTTTGGTGCCAGCCCCAGCAAGCTTTCCTCCCGTGTCTCATGTCCTAGCATTTTTCTTATACCTTTGAGTAATTACTCGCATGGAGCGTGTGTGTGTGTCTTTAGTCTGCCTCAGCAGATAGATCCTGAGGCTTTGCAGGATGGGGATTATGTTTCACTCACCTCTTTTGTCTTTGACAGTAGCCAGTGCCTATCCAGAATGGGTGTTCAGGAAATTCATTGGTAATAAAATCAATAGCTCTGGTAGAGCAGAGCAGCAGTCTCGGAGGAGAGGGTGGAGAAAGCTGTAAGTGGTCTCCAAGTACCTGACAGAGGGGGATCTGATGTTACTTTGTGTATTTCAAAGTAAGGAAAACAGAAACTTATGCTGCAATGAAGGTGCTTTGTATTTGTAAGGGAAGGAACTGGGGGACCTTGGAGGCTCCCAGATTAACCCTTACTAGAGAAACGCAATTCATTTAATAGCCAGCCTCTGTCTAGAAGCACCTGTACCTTTTAGGGTAGGAGTATTGCAAATCTCACCCCTCTCCATGCTTGGAGGTTGGTTATTCATTGACAACTGATCCTGAATCAGTAGCAAGTGACTCTCCATCCCTCCCAAGGGACTTGCATCTTACCCGTTTGCCACCAGCTCACAGGCTTCAACCGCATGCCATTGGAATGACGCATCTGATGCTAGCTGCTTTGAACCTCAGTCCCTGTGGACCCAAATCGCCCCCTTGGAAAACTAACCCCGATTCCACCTTTGCAAGCCAAGTTGATAAACTGAGTTTGTGTCCTTTGTTTGCCCTCTCTGATGTAGCTCCTTCCACTTGTGTTGAATTTTGATTATGCTTGCTTGGTTTTCTTTATTGCTCTCCCTTTTCTCATTTTGTTTTCTCCATTCTTATTGGAGGCAACGAGCCGTCCAGCGGCCGGAACTCCCCTCTCCCTTACCGGCCCGAAAGCCGCCCTCTAACTCCAACTTACGCTCAGGCCCCTAAACATTTCCATGTTCCAGGTAGGAGCTGACACGGTCTGTCTCGGTGTCCTGTCACTGTGTAGAATGTAGCCTTGTAATCTCGTCTCGTCTCCATTTCTCATGCTCATTAATGGGGTTGCACATGGTTGACAAATCCTAAATTGCAGGATCTAACCTGGAGGGCCTTTCAGAAGTTCTCTATGTGAGGTACCAAGATCTGTTGAAAGTTTTCGAATTTTTGTTACTGTTTTGTTTTTGCAATGGTGGAGATCAAACCCAGGGCTTCATGCAGTTTAGGCAAAGACTGTATTACTGAGCCGTATCTCCAGGCCTCAGTGTTTTTGAAGAAGGTAAGAGACGGGGATGAAGGAGAGGAGTTGGGTTGTTCTGTTTAGGTGTTTTTGTTTTGGGGGGTTATTTTTGTGTTTTGGGGTTTGGTTTTTTGTTTGTGTGTTTGTTTTTGATCTGTGTTTTATTTTTTGGTTAAATTTTTAAATCTATTTTAGTACCATCAGGGTGACATTCCATGGTTCAATATTGTTAATTATTGTTTTTCCCATGGATTTTCCTTTTGAAACAGGTGTAGCAGTAGGTCCATTGGGGGGTCTTTCTGCAGTTCACAGCTGATGAGTCACCTCCACAGCCTGCACAAATATCTTGCAATTTAGGCTTGGCGCTGCAGGCTTTGCTCTAGTAGTCACAAGCATTTGCTGTCAGCATAAATAGTAATTTGCCATCAGTCAGTGGGAAAACAGAACACATATCTTACTGTTTACGATTGGCTCAGCTAGAAATGGTGGGATCAGCGGTCAGGCATCATGATACTATTTTTCCATAAGAAATACAATTTTGCTTCTTTTACCTGTTGAAAGTGGTTTAATAAATTACCCACCGCGTTAATGTAAGTATACATATTTGGAATCTATATGTGTGTTTTTTTTTTTTTCCTTTTGCAATGCAAACTTAATAAAACAGAGGAAAGTTTAATGAGATTGGTACCACCAAGCTAGGAGTGCCTTTCTAAAAAATTTCATTGAACTTTACAATGATTGTTCTACATTCGGGATTTTTCATGTGAAGACTGCCTCCAAGTCAGAGACCTCTTGAATTTCCTTGAATACCTGCAATTCAAGTGAAATGGTAGCATGATCCAGTGTGTACTCTGTAAATGCAAGAACAGTATTTAACATCACTTTTTTTCTTTTTTCCCTCCTTTAAAAAAAATTCAACCTACACAAATAAGGGTTTTATTTGCACATCCTCTCAGCACACTGGGTCAGCCTTGTGCATAAAAGATATTGCTATGATTTTTAAAACAGTTTTTAATTTCTTTACATTGCTTTCCACTGTTCTCCTCATTAACTGAAAAGGTAAATTGAGTCACTGGTATCTACTGGGAGCTCAATTTCTAGACAGTAGCAGTTTGAGGATTTTTCTCCAAACTGGTTATGTCTTCCTTACCATTTGAGTGGCTCCACTGCTTGCATTTTTTCCTGTTTTAATCCCACTTTCAGAGAAGTGTGTGTTTGAAATAAATGGCTCATAAATAAGTTACATTTCTCTATATGCTAAGACGTATTACAAAGACTTCCATGTCACATGTCTACAGTAACTCATTTCTGTAATCTCTTCCAATGAACTCAATCTTTGTAATACAAAAGTTAGTCTTCTGGGTTATTTTTGTTCAAGAGTCTTCTGTTTGTTTTGTGCTTTGGTTGGTTGCTTGTTTCTCATCACAGAACTAGTTCCCATAACCACACACCTTTGCTTTTCATTTCCACAGATCAAGGGATCAACATTTACCGAAAACCACCCATCTACAAACAGCATGGTAAAACTCACTTTCCTCTGCATAGCTTTTAAGTAGCAATCAGCTGGACTCTTCTTTGCTGTCTTCTGAAAGCTTATCTACTACTGCTTTTGAGACCCAAACTGAAGCATCCAGTATATGTTACCTTTATGGTCCATTAAGACCCGAATATTAACCTTCCTGGGTGGAGAACACTTAGCACACCTGGAAGTTACCAGCCTATTTCTGAGCCCATCAAACCATGTACAATTCCATTCATAGAGAAGGGGAAGTATTGGTCAGCCAACAGCCCACCAGCATCCTAACAGGACTTTTTTTTTTTGCCATCAAATCATTTAACCAACCTCTAAAATGTGCCAAATTTGCAATTAGCTTGACTAAGTAAAAGTAGTTAAAGTGAGCCACCTACAAAAAGTAGTTTGGCTAAGGCTACATGGGCTTAGTTATTCCACTCCCTGCTTCTTATAAGGCATGCCAAGGTCTGCACTGTGCAGTGGATAGGGCATGAGCTAAGACAGGTGCTTGTCTAGATCTCTTTCCCTACCCTTATGGCTCGGTTGTAGGGACATAATTCCTCTGGGCTTCAGTTTTCTCACAGATTGTACTGGAAATTTGAAGGCTGCTTTTAGAATCTAGTTGATATTAACAAGTCATTAACACTTAGGATGCTATGAAAGTGCATAAAGTTGGCAATGACACCAAAAAAAAAAAAATGTTAGGTGAAAATGTAGGGAGAAAATGAAAAAGTATGGATTGTAATGATTCTGAAGCCATGTGGGTTTTTTTTTCTTTCATTATTTTTCAGTTTTACATCACTTGCTTGCATTTTTAAGTTTAACATTGCTTTTGTTTTTGTTTTTTATGGTTTAATGTCTTCCCACACACTCATTAACATGTGAATGTTTAACTACTGACTTCACCAATTCTAATCCGTAAGTACTGTTTGAAGTCATGCTTTTTTGTTTATGAGTAAGATTTCAGTTTGATTGAGATTTTTAAAAAATATTAAAATAGGCCCTGTTACTCGGAACAAAAATAATAAAACAATTAAGATTTAAGGATATTGGGTAGTGTTACACTTTGCTTGGGAGGAATTAGTTGGCTTCTCTCCAGGATATTTACTTCGAAGTCTTTCAGTTGTTGTAATTAATTACTAGTAGCTCAGCCAAAGCAACACTCTGTCCCAAATGCAGGATTGCCAGTCCACACCAAGCAGACCTCATGGCCCCAACTGTTATCTGCCTTTACGCATTTGAGAAATGTTAAATTTACATTAAATCACTTTTTTTGTAATTCAGACTTTTAGTCTCTCCTATGTTAACATCTTTTGTCCATCTTTAGCATGGGGATTAATATCAGCATTTCTTAAACAGATTGCTTTCCTCATGAGAAATACTGTGCCTTGCCTGGCCAAGATTTTTTCCCCCATCACTGGTTCTCCCTTGTCAAGTTGTTTAAGCAAATTGAGACTCAGAAGGTTACTAGAAAATGGAAAAATTGGAACTGAAGAGTCAAAAAGATGATTTCCAGATTTTAAAATAAAAGCCCAGAAAGAAAAAAAAAAAGAAAGCATTATTAAGAAACTGTTAAATATTAATAACATCTCCAACCAGTTGGTAAATTAGCCAGAATCAGAGGGTAATCTTGTTTGTTTTGCTCCAACTCTAATTATTTAGGGCTCTAAACCAGTGATGCCTGCTTTAAGGATAACCAGTAAGAACTTTGTGAACTAATATTCTTTCTAGTTTGGCTTTTGGTATTTTGTATATATTTTGGTTGCCTTACTTGAATACACCAGCCCTGGAAGAAAGCACCCGTGAGTGAGGGTGGTCAGAAACACACATTGCTAAATCATAGTGCTGAACTCCTGCAAGCTGGATGTGGGAGTCCCTATTTCATGTCTCCTAAAACACCAATGCTTATACACAGATGACGGAGTATATAAGGATTAGAATAATTGGCCTAATTTACTCATGGCTTCTGGCTCAAACAGTCAAAGCCCACCACCTCTAAAAGATTAATAACCACAGTGCACTGACATTGTATGCTTTTAATTATCTCTTTAATTTCTAATTTTTAATTCAGATGTTTAATTATTCAAATTTTCTAATTCTAAGTGCATCTTAGAGAATACTTAGGAATGTACTTTCCTATGATTGTGGAAATGAGCTATATCTGTGCTGTCCAAAACAGTAGCCACTGACCACATGTGACTGCTGAGCACTTGAAATACAGGTGGTGCAACCTAGGAATTAAATTCTGAGTTAATCAGTTTGGGGTTTTGTTTAATTTCATTCATTTAGAGTTAAGTAGACATATGGAGCTTTAGAACAAGTTTTTTCACATGTAGAATGAGGCTTCGCTTCTGACCTAAAATAAGGAAAATGGATTGAAGTGTCATCAAGAAGCAGCTGCACAGCAGTTCATGGTGATCACCAGAGCTTTGTGGAGCTGTAGCTTTTGCCAGAGAATAAGAAAACCGTGTCTGTGGGGTTGGTACCTCCACTGCCTCGCAGGCCGGCAGCTAAGCAGCCCTGGTTCCCACCTAGATGCAGCTGCCTCGGCAGCACAGAGCAAGTCCTCAGAAGACATCATCAAGTTTTCCAAGTTCCCAGCAGCCCAGGCGCCAGACCCCAGCGAGATACCAAAGATTGAAACAGACCACTGGCCTGGTCCCCCCTCACTGGCCGCCATAGGTACGCACCTGATGCAGCTAAGTGGAGCACGAGGGGCTAGGGCAGCTCAAATGAAATACTTAAAAACAGGTGAGAAAATGTGTCCTGTTGTGACTCTTAAGAACAGAGGGCCAAGAGGTAGGACAGTGAAAAGAACTAATGTGGTAATGGCGTGTGTGTGTGTACAATGCTTCCGCATTACAAAACCATATGGTAGAAGAGCCTGGCTCTAATCAGATTCACCAAGATCTAGACCAGGTCTAAAGCTGACTGTGTGCATGACTCTTGAAGTTATCACAGGAAAATCAGTAACTTTTTTGAACACAGCTGAGCCAAAGCCTTGTGGCAAGAGCACTGTTCTACATAGAGTGTAGTGGCTGAATATTACCAAGTGTCCTTTGGAGTGTAACTTCTTTCAGTTGGATTTGTTTTGCACTGTGTATGGGCAGTAGTCACAATTCTCTTAACAAACAGTATTAACACTGAAGCACTTGCACTTCCTTGCAAATGTCACATTCTCCATTACTAAGAAGGGCTTTTGTGAGTAGTACTCGCAATACCATGAAATACTACTCATGTGAAGGATGCGATCTGCCATCTATCATCTCCATGAATCCTGTGCTGAGTGTCACAGTGGAGCTGTTTCATTCTTCGCTTCATGCTTTCCAGCTGTGTTTGTGTCTTTACTGTTTTGTCAGTAGTGAAATCAGTCTGCCTAAAAAGAGATATTAATAAACGCAGAGGCTAACACTCTACTGAAAATTTAATGAGTTAGCCTTTTTTTTAAAAAAAAGAAAAAAGTATTTTCCCATTTCTGTTGATACCTAAAAGGCCTTCAATTTTCCAAAATTTTCTTATCATATGAATCAGGCTGGTTTTTTTTTTAATCACATTTTTCTTAGGATAACTTTTGTGAGCAGTATAAGTGGATTTTAAAGCAATATATAGAAATTGTTGAAGGGTAATTTACTTAGTATTCCAAAGTATTCGATAATTATGGTGATGAAATTTACCTAATTCATGCAAACTTGCCTCTATTAATTTTTATTTGTGCAAACTAAAGAAAGAAAATTCACATTCACATTATAATTTTAAGAACTAAGAATCTGCCAATCTGTGCCCTTCAGGAAGCATGTGAGGCTTCCTGAGTTTCCTAGTTCAATTACGTTACTCATTAAAGCAGCTAAGCTTTGGAGGAAGACATCATCGAGGGAGGGGAAATTAAATTTTTATTGTTAAATTTACCATCACTAAGTAGATTAAAGTTTCTTTGGGTTCCAAATTGAGGAAAATATCTGGTCCATTAATTAAAATGATGAAAACTAAGACTATTAGTTAAAGTTTATTTTGATTAGATTAGCAAACTTTCCTGTTTCCTCCCAAAGCCAGATTAGTCCAAGTAATTTAGAAAAAACAATTACCATAATCTTTCAACCCTTTAGACAGATCTCTTCTTTCCATTCCATATCTCCCTTTTCCTAGGAAGCTTGAAAATTATAAGAATTTGTTACAGTGTTGTAAAGTAACTGTCTAGTTATTTTAACACTTTTTATAAAACTCCTTTGAACAATTTTCAGAGTATGAAGAAAAAGGAAAATTAGAGGCCCATTCTTTGAAAGAAATATAACAAATGGACTTTTTAATGAATTCACTAAGAATAGGCCAAGTGATAGTCTCATGAAAAGTCTAAATATTCAGAAAAAGAGGAAATTGCAAGATTCTGAAACGGGCCAAATAGTGACTATCTTACTGATTTGTTGGTATGTAGACAAAGTTGGATCATTGTGTATTTTGAAAAATTGACCTCCGGGACATCCAGTAATGGCTAGAGATGCTCCCCTGCCCCCCGTTTAACCACGATGAGCTTTGACCAATGGTTACTAATGATTTCCACAGTTGTAACTGAGCAGCCACTTGTTGAGAGGCCCAAGTTCACATTTTCCTTGCATACACAGTCAACTACGTAGCTTGACAAAGGGGCCCATTTTCACGAGAAACCAGCCTTGAGGATGATTTAGAGTGTGGGGGATTCTCCTTAAATACATCCATCCCTTCAATGTATGGAAGCCCTCTGCTGAGCTTGGCAGCCCCACAGAGGTACACAGGTGGACTAGTCTGTTAGGATTCCTTCGTCGTGGCCTCATGTGTGAAGCTGTCTTTGCTGTGGAATTAGGAACTGACATGAGACGCAGATCTAGTGGCAGAGAGGAAGATGAGGAGGAACTTCTGAGACGCCGGCAGCTTCAAGAAGAACAACTGATGAAGGTTTGTCCTTAAGCTACCTTGCTGCTGTCTTCAGTTCTGGCTCCCTAAGATGCATGGAAGCCACCAGAATGAGAAGAAGGTGACCCAGACCTCAAGGAGCTTGTCATCTGGCAAGCGACACATGATAGGCATTCACTTAGGAGACTAAGAAGGAATATGCAGTGGTTTCAGAGGAGATGACATTGAGGCTGGGGAATGAAGGAACGTAGCAAGGAGAGAATGAGTGTAGGGCACATGTGCTGGGCAGAGTGATGTCCCACGAGGGGTGTGCAGGACCTGCTGGAGGAATTCCCTTGGGATGGTGCATTTTTCTGAGTCTTTCTCTGGGATTCAGAGGGCTTCACATGCATGTGTGGACCACAAGCAAAGGGATTGAGGGGACTGTTACCAAGATATACCCATCATCATCCCCATGTTTTGCTTTGTTTTTAAACAAATCGGTGTGATTTCTTAATGCCATTCCCAAGCACCACTTCTCACATTAACTATCTGTACACACTCCCACATGTCCTCCGAGGTCTCCGGGGAGGGAACAGAAAGGAAAGATGCTTCTGACGTGGAGCCTGGCTGGGAGAACATGTGCTCTGACAGGGTAAAGCTAAGAGGGGCTCGGGGTCCAGACCCTGACCCACCTGAGGAACTACCAGACTCCGGCCAACCTCTGTTCTGGCTCTCAGGGTCACAAACTTCCTGTAAGACCACATAAGAAACCTGTCATTGTGCGAAAGTGATTGTAGGCTTTGCTTTCATTTTTCTTCTTTTCTTTCTTTGTTATTTTGTTTTGTTGTTTGTTCACTTTTTTGTTTTCCCCTTTTTTTTTTATGACTAGCTTAACTCAGGCCTGGGGCAGTTGATACTGAAGGAAGAGATGGAGAGGGAAAGCCGGGAAAGAGCTTCCCTGTCAGCCAGTCGCTACGACTCTCCCCTCCACTCAGGTAAGCGGCAAGCCCTGCCTTGGGCAAGCGGGCAATCTGCTGGACCAGTGACAGGAGAAGCAGGACCACTTATGGGGTTCACTAATCTCTAGTGTGCCTGATTCTGAGAGACCGTTCTGTATCCCCATGTAGATCAATAAATGAAGGCTGCAAAAAGACTAAGATGCTGAGGTGCTAAGTGGCAGAACCAGAATTCAAGCTCAGGTCTGCTAAGTGCAGCGACCCATCAGGCTTCCATGACCCTGACACAGGATGCCTGGCCCAGCCTCCTGGAGGCCCGCAGTGGCAATAACTTCCATAGTGACCTGCAGGCCCATCACTTGCTGCCATGCCATATTGGGTATGATCTGCATTTGACAGATGAAGAAATAGGAGTTCAGTGAAGTATCCAATCAAATGCAAATAATAATAATAATAGTATTATTAGGGTTCGGATGAGAATACTAAGAGATACTTAGGTACATGCTGGGGTTGTAGGAAGGACAGCAAGTATAGTAGTAGCCATGCTGCATGTCCTCCTTACCCTGTCCCTCCTCAGCAGAATCACTATTAGGTACCATTCCCTGTATCCCCAAATACGACTGCCACGTGTGTGAACAGTTTGCTAAATCTCTTCTGCAAAGGAAGCAGATATGCTTCCAGTCTCATGAAAAAGTTGGACTTCTGCTTTCCTGAGGGTTGCTTTTTTTAAAAAAAACCCTGCTTTTCATCCAGCTTCACATGCTCCATCATCGAAGACCTCATCTCTCCCTGGCTATGGAAGAAATGGACTGCACCGGGTAAGGTTTCTCTTCCGTGGATTGTTTCTGTATTATGCCTCCCTCAGTCCTGCGTAGAGCACTTACTGTGCAAGTGTATAGGACTCTTTGATCTCAGTGTGGGCAAATAATGAAAATTTTAGTCACCCTGCTCACCTGGTAAATCACTCTGAGTTACAGCCAAAGTAAAATATTTGAATTAAGAGAAGACTTCATTAGCTTTAAATAAATGACTGACCTGTGCAGGCTTAACAGGAGACTAGATTCAGGAATACTGTGACAAATATTTTCACAGTGAAGCAAAGAAGTAATTATTTGATTCATTGTCCCTGTTTAAAGATAAAGTTTATTACAATTGTCTTCTTACCAAGGTATAGAACAAATGTAATTATGTAACTCATAGGAAATGAATTTTTATTTATGAACAAGAAATAGTTGCTTACCAAGAGCCTGAAGGCAGGGGCTCCATGTACCACAAAAGACAAAGTTCATAGTTATGGAAACATAGGGAAGAAAAAAAATGAGGATCCAGGAATTTAGACTAGGAAGGATTTTTAGGATTTTGTCAAGTCCATTTCTCATTTTCAGCTGACTCCAAAATGTTGGCTGGGGAGATTTGGTGATAATGTGCTTTTCCTCGTTTTAGCCTGTTTCCACAGACTTTGCTCAGTACAACAGCTACGGGGATGTCAGCGGGGCACTACGAGGTGAGGCTCCAGGGCCAGGACCACGGTGTGCTCTGTTGGATGCCTGACAGCAGCACCACTGTGATCAAAGTATATGTGGAATGTTTAAATTCTCTAAAAATTTATTACTACAGCAAAGACGCATTGTCATTAAGCCTCCTCCAGTGACTCCCCCTTGCTTCAAACACACCTATCCCATTACTCTTGTCGAGGTCTAGCGAGGCCGGGAGGTCCTCTTTCAGGAGCATCTTTAGTTGCACAGTGGTATCTGCCCCCATGTCCTGAATAGGTGCAAACCATCTACTCTTCATAGTAATGTTTATATTTTATTTTTATGAATACCTGTTTGCAGTACCTAATGGTTTTGTTTATTGTGGGGAGTTTTGGTTTTGGGGAAGAGCCAGAAGTCACAGGCTTCCAGATCTGGTGAATAAGCCAGGTAAGGACGTGTTGTGATGCTTTTCTTCCAGAAATCGCTATGAACAGCAATCAGTGCAGTATGACCAAAAGATATGACATATTTTTAAACTAAAAACATTTTTACAGTAAAAGGTGCATTGCCATTTAACCCCTTCAAAATACTTTCCTTGCTCTCAATACACTTAATCCTATCATTCTTGGCTGTGCTTTTTTACAACAGTTTTTTTTTTTTTTAATTTTTTTTAGTTGGGCATGGTACTACATACCTGTAATCCCACCACTTACGAGGCTGAGGCAGGAGGATTGTCACAAGTTCAAGGCCAGCCTGAACTACATATTAAAACCTTGTTTCAAAACAAGCCCCCCTAATTTTTTTGTAATAATCACCATATTGTTAACCACTTTGTATGGTAAGGAGAAAGAGAGAAGAGGACATTGTAACCAATATCCAAAGCTAGTGCAGGGTTCCTGGCCCAGGGACGCTGGTGGTACAGTGTCTGTGCAGACTAGGGACAGACAGCATGGCTCCCTGGGGATCATCTTTGGAATTATGGTCATAGACGTAGGCTCTCTAGTAAGGTTCCATGTTTTTCCAAGGTCCACCATGATGATATTTTCTTTTACTTTTCTTTCCAGATTACCAGGTATGAAAACTTTGTCTCTCTGGAGTTGCCAGCACCAGCACAGCAGCCATTTGCCAATCCAGGCAGCTGCTGCAGGGAGGAGAGTATCGTTGTTGATCTTTAATTGTGGCTCCAACCCATACAGAACAGGCAGGCCTGGTGCCATCAGGCTGTCCCCGCAGGCCTAAGGGACACAGCACAAGCCAGGCCAAGTGAGAGAGGGCTGTCTCACTCTGGGGAACTCTCAAGGAGGAAGTGGACCAGCGCCATGGGTCTGCCCATGTGCAGCTTCTTATTTGAATTTTCAAAAAAAAAAAACTTTCAAACATTTCAGTAATGTTATTCCCTCTTTTTTTTGCCTGCTTGCAAAAGAAAAAAAATTAGGTCTTGACCAATAGGAAGGAACACTTTTCTCTTACATGCATGGGGGTATATACGTGTGCATGTGAGTGTGAACTCAGGGCCTCACACATGCTGACAAATGCTCTACTACTGAGCTATACCTCCAGCTTTGTAGCCAATATCTTGTCAAACTAATGAGAAAAGAGAAAAATGCAAAGAAAACTAAAATGAAGATTAATAATAATCTGTCAGTGTTTCACAGACTGTGCACTCGCAGACATGTAGCCTAAATTCAGGAGTTTAAACCACAGTGATTAGGCTGGGATCATTCCCCAACTTGATTACAAAAGTGCAGTATTCCCAGTCTTACTCAGTAAGGAAATTTTAGAAAAAATACATGGTAATTAACATGACAGGTTGATAAAATGGTGCTGATGATTAAGCACAAAGGGGATGTTTGGCCACCCACAAAGTCCCCTGAGGGACTTGAGGCCCCTGCTAGTTTATTCTTGTCCCTGAGTCAGTATTTCTGTTGCAGACCCTCCCGGATGGCCACATGCCTGCCATGAGAATGGACCGAGGAGTGTCTATGCCCAATATGTTGGAACCAAAGGCAAGTACAACTCTCTTTTCCTCTCTTACCAGGATGATATAGCCCTAAGAAGACATGGTTTCCTACCTCTCTGCCATTCTCAGCAGGCAAAGCCTATTTGTTTTAGACTATACATTCAGACAAACCATATCAAGAAGCACTTCACCATCCCACTGTTTTGACACACTAAGTCTACATGTTAGGCCCCTAGTGAGTATGGCGCTGTGTTCACCAGCACCTCTTCTTTATGACTTAGGCATCACATTTTTAAGCCCCTTCCCATGGGGCTTATGAGGCATGTCCAGTGCTGATTGGAACATCTGCAGACTGCTGAGGTAGGGGGACCAATAGGTCCCCTTTGACAGGACTTTTTTCAGCTTTAGAACCAAAAGTTATGCACCCCAAGAACTCCCTAGTCCAGGGCAAACTGGGATGGTTGATCTCCCTAGCAACAAATCGTTCTACACCTGCAGAGATGTTCAAGGACTTGCACTCTCTGGTGACCAATACCAGGGCTTGCTTCAATATGTCAGCTGCCAGAACTGTGCCTCTGGACCTACCTAGCTGCTGGGAGTCATGAGCCATCCATGAACTAAGACTTGACCCACAAAGGTATCTTGCTTTTTAGCAGCGTCATGTGAAAGACAGCACATGTACCTGTAACTTCAGTTTTCTTCTGATTTTTGCCATTCATAGTAACTTAGTGCTGTGCAGTCTGAAAAACCCTGCCGGGGCACAGTGCTGCCTGAGATGCTGGTGGAGAGTTGTGAGTAGGTGGGGATGAATTTGTCCCTGTCTCCTGGACACTGGAACTTTGGTTGGTCATCAGAAGGAACACCTTCTACTCAGATCTCCTTTGATAAGTTCACATAAACTCCATCTTGGAAATCCCAGGTTTGAGGTGGGCTCTGCTTAGTAAAATGCACAGCAATCTTCAAGAGATGCTTTCTTTCCTTCTCAGATATTTCCATATGAAATGCTCATGGTGACCAACAGAGGGCGCAACAAAATCCTAAGAGATGTGGACAGAACCCGACTGGAGGTAAAACAAAAATCCATACCCATCCGCAGATCCATCAATCCCCAATTGTAGACAGAACAAAGATCCTCAAATCTGAGAATCTCTAATGAGATAAAACCATGAGACACCAGGCATGATGGCACTCTGGCAGGCTGAGGGAGGAGGATCCCATGGCAAGCCCAGCCTGGACAGTTTAGCCACTTGCAGGACTGGAGATACATAGCTAAGTACGAAGGCCCTGGATTTTATCCCCAGTACCACTAAAAGTAAACACTATGAGAAGCAAGTTTGTAAGCACTGATTCATTGCTGTTATTCTGTTAGGACTTGAACAGTCATAAAAAGCCAGACACAGCCCCTGCTCTCAGAAATGCATATGGTGCGGAGAGAGAGCAGAAGCATGTTTGACCTTTACACGAGGCAGGCATTTCCTGGCTTCAAGGAGGTCAGCAGTACAGCATGTGCACTTAGATTTACATTTACTTAAATTTACACTTAGATCACCATTTAAAATGTCTAGTAATATTTGGAAAGTATAGTGTGATTTTAGTCATAGTTTTTAGAAATAGGATGCTGCCCTAATTAGAGCAGGAGGTGCAGGCAGGGGACTCTTCAGATATTTCCAGATTCCTGTCTTTCTCTAAGCCTAGACTGAGTCCAGGAGAGCAAAGGGAGGAGCTTTCAAAAAGGTTTGTAATGAGCAAGTCTCTGCCTGGTTGTTTCCACATTCTTCACTGAGGGTTATCTGGGTACACATACCCAGGGCTCCTTAGGCATGGAAGACTGATCTTTGTACTTTTCCACCCAAATGATTATAATTAAGAAAAATTCTGCCTGCCGGTCTTAGGAAGAACCATTACTGTTCCCTGACAAAAAGCAATGCCTATGTAGCAGAGGTCAGGTTGGCTCTGAGAATGAGGGGCCCAGGAGTCCTAATGGAACTTTTCCTAGGAACAGGAATAGTAATATCCTTTCCCCCTGTTGTTGAACCAAGAAAAAGCCCTCATCTCCCTGAAGACCACTTTGGAAGTCTCTCTGTCTCTCTCTTTGACTTTCTATGGCTCTGGTCCATTTTCTCAGCATCTTTTCAACATCCCAGGGACCTAAAGTAGAGGTGCCTGCACCACAATAAAACACCTTCCCATTCCCCATCATTATTCATTTTGGAACACAGAGTTGTAACCGTGTTGTTAGATTTCAGTCAGCTCTTTGATCTGGTGAGGCTGAGACCTCCCCTATCTGTGCTTAGTAACAAGCATCAAACTCCTCTCCTGTCATTCTGCTTTGCTCTTCAAAATGCTGACAGCATTCTCAGTATCTGCAGGGGAGTGACTGAAGGATCTTCCTTTAGATCCTAAAGTCTGTGGTTGCTCAAATCTCTTATACAAAATGATGCAGTAGTTGCAGATTAACTTTACAAATCTTTCTACACACATTAAATCATCTCGCATTAATTATAATAACAAGTTTAATGGAAAAGCAGTGTAAACAGGTATATTGCATAGTGAAAAATGACTAAAAAAAGTTTTGCATGTGTGGCACTGGTGCGATCTTCCTGGCAAAGGGAATATTTGTGATCTACTGTTGGTTGAATCAGAGGACAGGGAACCCACTGATACAGAGAGCCAACTGTATTTGGAAACTGGAGAGCAGCTCTCCAGGCCATCTGTGTGGCCATCAGGACTGACCAGTGCTCCCGTTCTGTCTTTCCAGCGCCACTTGGCACCAGAAGTGTTTCGGGAAATCTTCGGGATGTCCATACAGGAGTTTGACAAGTTACCTCTTTGGAGACGCAATGACATGAAGAAAAAAGCAAAACTCTTCTAAGTCCTCCACATAAATGGCAGTTAGGAAAAAAAAAAAAAAGACTGCCAAGGCAGCACTGCCTAGGATGTGTTAAGGCCCAAACTTGATTGGAGAATTTATATCTACCATCCCTCAGCAACAACAAAAAGGGGAAGTCTGGTCACAACACCCTTGAGCCAAATATTGGGCCAACCAACAATAACACTTGCCAAGCAGCAAGGGGGTAGAAATTTCTGTGTTCCCCAACTTAGCGGTGTGTCCACGTGTGATCTTTTTACATGACCTCGTGTGCACAACAGGAGCTTCCTTCTTTCTCCTTCTGTTTTCTTTTAACTGTTGTCCAACATAGTGCTGACTGTACTCATAAGAGCCAGCAAGTGCCCTTAGGATGCTGCTCGGGAAGAAACAGTGTGCTAATTCCAAAGTATAACTGTATTTATTATGTAGCACTGTGCTAAGGAGGAGAAGTCCAAGGAGCGTGGCCATGTGGTAGCAGCGGTTTTCCACGCACCTCTCCTTACCAGCTTCAGACAGCAGTGCCTGTGCTCAGGCAGGCATGGGAATCAGGAACCAACCAGGCAGCTCTGACCAGGTGGATGTGTACTGGGACGAATCATTTTTGACAAGCTCTTTATTCTCTCTCCTGTTTGCTGGGAACAGGTTGGCTAATTACTTGGCCATTGGTAGAATTTTTTAAGAGAAAGGAAAAGAGATGAAGGAAACCATCTCTGAGCTCTCTCCTGCTTCAGGTAGTGTGCTGAATCCTTGCTCCCCACCAAGGACAGGAGCTGGCTTGGACTCCACCTTCATGAACAGAGGAAAGACATAAACTGTCTCCAGATTGGCCTGGCTGCAAGCTGCTGGTGATTTTTGCCCATGGCTTCTGTCACTCTTAGAAAAAGAAATGATCGTACTGCCACCAACCCAGGCTCTTCTACTCTGTGCCCTGCTCTGTCCAGCATCCTATGAATCAGATCAAGCCCATACTGATTTTCTTCAGTAATCGGCTGAGGAAAGGCACGTTTTTCTCTTAAATCTCTGCAACTCCAAAGTAGATTGCATCCAACAGATTTATTTTGCCCAGCACTGTTAACTTCATGGAGTGGAGGTGTGTGTTTGTATGTGTGTCCATGTGCGTATAACTCACCCAGGGCAATTTTGTGAGTCTGCATGTGCTTTGTAATTTCTGCTTGGATGTCACACTGTGATGCTGCTTCTAAAGGACATTTTCACAAGTGCATGTGAAGTCAGGAATGAGGCTAGACTCTGCCTCCAACATCTCCTCCTTCATGGGGAAGGTGTTGATGCTTGAAAGATGGCGTGTCCAGGTGCTGATGTAGCTCCTAGAGGGATTAGGCTCTTTGAAGCTCAGAGCATCTCATCAGAGTCCTCATCCTTTGCAGCTTCTCAGTTCACATTGGAGCTCTGGTCTCACTAAAATGTGCACTTAAGATCACATTGTGGGGCCTGGCATGAGTTGGATAAGAAGACTCTTCTAAGGTTCAGTCACTTTTGCTTTCATGCTTTGAGGCTCTGCTTAAGAGTTTAAAGTCTGTTAAAGCTAAAGGAAAAAAGCTTGGAATTCACCTGCAAAGTCCTCTGAGAAAAAAATAGCTCAAAGATCCTTCCCCCTGCACCAAGGACTAGGATCACCAGCTGTCCACCCGACCTTGTGGTAAAGAGCGAGCTGTAGAGCTTCTGAGGCTGTGTTCAGACCTGTGATGCCTCTGCCTATTGGGTTTGAGTGCTGCAGTGGACACTGTAGTTGCTCTAAATATTCACCTGTGCACTTACCAAGGGAATCTAAGTGTGAGAACTGCTCTCTCAAATCCACGTGTGCTGGATGTGTTGGACTCACTGACATATGCAGTGGGTGACAGGATGGGCCTGAGCAGGTCAGACTCGCTTCTGCTTGCTCTGAGGGAGCCTGCAGTTTTCCCTGCAGGCCTTAACTGCCTCCCACTTTCCCATGTTTTCACTGTCCTCTCTCTCTGCACAAAGCCTGTGTGTCCTAGTTCTTCCCTGCCCTGGCAGGGTGTAGAGGTGGGGAGTATGGTGCATTCACAATGTCTTCCCGCCATTGTCACTGCTGGTGACTGTGGCTTTGTGAGTCCCAGCGCTTGACTGATGGCGAGAATCTTTTTTTATTATGGAGATAAAGAACCTGCCATGTTTTTCTTTGGTTAATGAGTCATCACCCATAAAATACAGATCACATGGCCAGGGTGAGAAAATGAAGATACTTGGAGCAATTAGATGGTTTAGCTAAAGTTCTTACAGTTCTACATTAAAAGGACATGGTTTTGTCATGGAGTAGGAAAATTAGACAAAGAAGGAACAGTCCTCTTTTATTTTACAGACTTAGAAAGAAGGGCTTGCCTAAGGTTACAATGGTCATTAAAGAACTGGACTCTAAATTCTGCTCCCATTAAAGACACCTTGTTTTTCTTCTATCTTTTGAAATCAGTTCTGTACCCCGCTTGAAATTTTTGATAAAGCTTCTTTCCATATCAAGCATACTGGTTCCTTTAATCTGTACCTTGCAAAAATGCAATTACTAGAAACGATCAGTGGTCTCCTATCTGCAAGCAGAGCAGTGCTGTGCTCTGCTTTGCAGCGGGGCCACTCCTGGGGAAAAGACTGTAGCTGGCAGGATGGTCGAGGAACCATCTAGTTCTAACTGCCCAAGCCAGGGGATGGGTTTCAGTGCCCTCTCCATTTTATTAAACTGAGCTCAGCATGCTTGATATTGAAATCTCTGGTACACAGCACAGAGGAGGAGCCCTACCTGTATTACACAGGAAAGAGTGAACCGTAACAAGATCTGAGTCGCTTGTTCACTGTAGGAAAAGAATTACGTGCATGGCAGGCTCAGTGCATATTTTAAGGGCTACATTTTCAAGCATTTGACTTACTTATGACTTGAAGTGCATACTATTTGCATGAAGTCAAAGGGCCCTCTGTTGACAGTATGAGGGTTAGTGCTTCCTTTAAAATGTCTTCAAGGAAGCCCAGGCTATCATGTGTTCTTCCTGTGTGATTTCCTTGGAGACACAAAGTGCATCTGGAAACCTATACAGCTAGCTATGCATCTCAATTTTGGTTTGGGGTTTGTTATGAAATGTTTTTGATATAACTTCTTCAATAATTAAACACACACCGCCTGTCCTCTGAAACCTCAAAGAGAAAAACTAATATTGACAGATAATAGGGTACCAAAAAAAAAAAAAAACCCTGGGATGGTTTTCTATCTGTAATGTCCTCCGTTATCCCTCAACCCCAGCCCCAACCCTGCAGCCTTCCCTTCTGAGGCCCAGGCTGGAGGGTTTTTCTCTCCCAGCCATCAGCTTCCTCATCTTAGTCTAGTATCTGTTACCCATGACTCAGAGAAGCGCAGCTGGAGATGTTTCTAAAACTCTCGCTTGATTTCTTTGTACTTTGAAGCAAACATCTTTTTTCTGAGAATTGCTTCTCAGATGATGATAGTATATACATATGCTTTTGCAAGTTTAAAAGAATTCAGATTAACCATTTTTTACTAGAGGAGCCTTTCTAAAAATTAGCGCAAACTTAGCACTGGCATTCTAGGGTGTGACAGGCAGCAGGCCTAGCTCCAGCTCGGGCACCGGGAACTGTACTCCCCATCCTCTTTCTGGCCATCATGAATGAGTAGGGGAAGGAATGAACTCTGTCTCAACAACCCTTCTGTGCCCTGAAGTGAATTCAGATTTTTGATCACTTTGTCTATATTTCTGGTAGCTGTTTAACCTTTACTTCTTGTGCCAGCCTAGATTTTATTTGATTTCTAAAATTATTTTCTTTTGACAAAGTATTGGGGTGCCCTAAAGCTTCCTCTTAATACTTCTTTTTGAAGAATACTTCAATGCAAATAAAGAGATTATTCGGGGTTGCAGTGACACCGTCTCACCCTGAGGATGTATACTGAGGAACTATCCAGCTACACTGTGATAAGAGGAAGAGAAAGCTTTACTTTGGCATTTTACACAAACCACTGTATCTTACCATTTGCTGTTAGAAAGCGGAGAGCTGGTGACAGATACACTTTGCATATGGATCGTTACATTTTCATTTGGGTAGTTTTCGTTTATGGGAAACTCGGGAAGGTGGTCACTTGAGGTTGAAACTTTCTAAACAGTGAATGTGTACACAATAAAATTAAAGCAAATCCAACATTTTCTGAAGCTTAGTGTAATTGAGTGGCAGTTACCGTGAAATCAAACTCATCCCAGAGTGTCTCTCCCAAGAGTGAAGTTTCCATGAGTAACTTCCATAGCCTTTCAAAGGAAGATGGAAAAGACAGCACTGTGTACCCCAACATGTAGATAGGGTGCGGGCCCCTGCCTGACCACGTACGCCTATGTTTCCTTATCTTGTGGACGAGGAGACAGTTGTCCCAAAACTTCTTGTTCCTTTTGGGCTTTGTGTATAGACTTGTCCAGTGATTAATGCTAGTGGTTTCCACGAGTCACTGATGACCCTGCATTGAAGCTCTCAGGAGTTGTTTCATTTTGAGTTGGGGTTACGGAGCTGTTTCCAGCTGGTGAAAGGCACACCTTCCTGGCCTTCCTAGCTTTGCAGGCCTCCCTCCTTTCCCTCCACTTTCAGACCTAGGAAGGCAAATGTTTGGAAGAACCCTTTGAGAAGCCTTGTTTCCTGTGAACCGAGTGGGTGGTGTCTGCACCTGAAGGCCTTGCGCTCATGCACAGCAGAAGGGCGGCCTGCCGGTCTCCATGTCACTGAGCTGCACAGTTCCCGACCCGCTCCACTCTCCTGTTGCCAGCAGCACTGACCTAAGCACCCCTTAGCCGCTCCAATCTGCGTCTGCTCACAACCTGGTGAATAAAACTATGTGCTTCATTCGTGAGCGCCTCCATGACTGCTTCATTTCCTCTCCTCACACTCCTTTTGAAGGTCTCTCCCATTTTTAAAATACCCACCCAGCTTCCAAGAACCAAAAGGAGATCAGAAGGAAACCAAAGTCTTGGGAATCCATATTTAATCACATACATGGGGTGGGGTGGGAGTGTTTTCCAACACTGTCCAGCAATCCAGGTCACATTGACCAGGTTGATGAGAAAATAAGTTCTCAGTAGAACTCTTACATGTTGCTGGTGTTAACTAATGTTTGATTCTGTTTGTGATACAGCAGTGACTGTGACAGGGGACAAAACTAGGGGTTGGCAGAGACTTGAGGGCAAGAGCTCTGAGTGACCATGCCTGTAGGTGATCATAGTAAGGAGTGGAGTACAAGAGGTTACAAACATCTTGGAATGTTCGACCTCCTCTCTTGGACTTTACACAAAGAAAATCTAGTTTTCAGCTACTTGCCTTCACTGCCAGAATTTTGGGCTTGCCAGAAAAGGCAGGGCTTGGGACTGGAGATGACCCACTCTGGCCAGGACCCTCATCCTGCTCTGTCTCACTGTGCGGGCTGTCACACTGGCATTCACTGGACCCTCACCTGGAAGCTTGGCATGGGTTATGCTGAGCAAGGTGACCTCTTTGCCATACTACTGTGGGAAAGAGTTCAGGAGGCCTGGGCCGCACGTCTGTCTTTTACTCACTTCTGCTTCCACTGGCGCCAGCACTGGCCCTCACCTTCCACAGTCGGGGTGGTTTTTAGCCCTTCTCTGCAACTCCCTGGGGCATTAGGCTCTGGCTCTCCTCCTCCCTCCCTGCCCTGCCCTGGACTCTCACCCTCTGCTTCTTCCAAACCACTGCAGGTTCCCCAGACATACCAGGACTTCCCTGCTGGCACAGCTTTGCCCCTGATGTTCCACGAAACAGTGCCCAACTCTTCAAGGATACGGACAGCAGAGTGGGTCTGGCCTCAGGGAATTTTAAAAGCAGTTTCCCATCAACTCTTTGGAGTTACCCACGGGAATTTCCCATAGGCTTCCTTTGCCCTAAATCAAAGACAAGCCCATGCTCACACCCTTCTCTGAACCTGTCTGGATGGCCCAGCCAATCTGCCCCTGCAAATTCTTCGCATGCTTTTGATTGCTGAATACTGTTAGCTCTGTGTGTGTTTCTGCTTTATAGCTGAGCTTTGGTGAGAACTTCCCTGTGTTCATATTCCTCATGGCAGCCCTGCCAGATAGGCCACTGTGGCTCAGCCATACAGGGAGGGAAAGCGAAGCTCAAAGGCTCATCAAACATGCCTGCCTATTCAGCCAGTCAGCAACAGAAGTGGGACTACCTAGTTCTGTGCCCTTCAAATACCCTGTTTTCCTCCAGGTCCCACTGCCTGTGAGCTTGTGAGGGCCAGTTCTATTAGTCTGGCATGAGCTCCATTACTACCAGCAAGGGACAGTTAGGAACAATGGCTTGGAGGTCACTCGCTAGCCTTGTCTTGGGGCCAGTTGTTTACCCTTTCTAAGCCTTAGTTTGCTCATCTGCAAAACTGACAGAATATCAGTACTCATCAGAGGACTGTTGCTAAATTATGCAAATACATGTTGAACACTTAGCTCAGTACCCAGCATCTAGTAATTGCTCAAGGCCTATTAGTGATCATTCTGAAGAATTAACTACTTAAGGAACCATGTGAGCTGTCTGAGCACCAGTACCCTTGTAAGTAAATATGGAATCCATGCTTGCTTGGCAAATAAAATAAGAAAAGTGCTCAGATGCAGGGAAGCAATACAGTAACAGATGACCTTAGGTGGTGAGGGCTGCCAGTGGTTGGATAGGTCCAGCAGTACTGTTCTAAGTAACCACTTGAGAGGCTGGGCATGTGGCTCCGTGGAAGGGCACCTGTCTAGTGAGTGTGAAACCCAGGCTTCCATCCACAGCATTGCAAGAAAAAAATTGCTTGAGAATTTTAGGTTTTGTTCTGAGCATTTTCCCTTCTACAGTAGCCTTCATGTGGATACCCAAACATTAAAACAAGCTTATAATCTCATATCCCATAACAGAACTACTCTTGTTCGGCAGTAGTCTGAGACTGAAATCCCTGTTGTTATGCTAATGAACAGTAATAACTGAATTATTACACAGCAGCTGAGAGCTGGTATAGCGTCAGAGTGCCTGGGTTTGAGTCCTAGCTCCTCCTGTAACTAGCTGGTGATGATTGGCTTCTCTAAGTTTTAATTTCCATTTCTATAAAAGAAAGATAATAATGCCTACTTCAAAGGGTTATTATGAGACTCTCTAGAGAACAAGACCCAGCTTGATACAAAATGAGCCCTCAAATATCAGCCTTTATTAATCAAGTGGCTGCCATATAATAAGGACTTGCCACTTGCCCAGCTCTGAGCTAAACATTATGCAATTTCATTCATACACTTCTTTCCATCACTTCTGTGTTAGAATTAAGGAAACCAAGTCAGAGAGACTCAGTGTGTTACACAAGATCTATCTGCTAATTGGGGCCTGGGGATTCAAACCTCATCTTCCCAGCCCAAGCTCCACCTCTGGGCAAATGTGCAGGGCTATGGCCGGCCAGAGTCACAGACTGCCCAGAACCAAAGATGCCAGCTTCCTGGGTGTGGAAGGCTTCCTGCCTTGTTCCAGCGGTGCTTAGAAACACCTGGGAAAGAACTGGGCCTTGTTCCCGTGACAGATGGCGCCGGGTCTGGAAAGCTGCTTCTCCTTGTGTGGCCCACTTCAAGCAGCCAGGGGCTGCACAGACAGAGCTTCCAGTGCAGAGTTCTTCAGGACATTCTCTCAGCTCAAGAAAGCTACCACCGAAACTCAGCACCCCTTATCACCCCATTGCTGGAAGGGGGCTCCTCCCCGCAGAGCCAGCCAGACAGCCTTGCCTGGGTGTGTCCACCAGCCTGCCTTGCTGCACGAGCCCATTGTGAGCTGGAACGCACGAGGAAGGGTGGAGACTTGGGACTGGCAGCTTTTGAGAAAGCCCAGGGTGGTGGAGAGAACAGTGGCCAAAGCTTCAGGAAGTCTGGACCCCCACCTCAAGGACCTGCTTCCACACCTCCAAACTCCCTCCCACCCAACCTGCAATGAGAACTCAAAAAAAAAAATGCCCCTCCTCTCCTGAAGGGCCCAGGGCCCAGGACAGACAGGCTGCAGCAGTGGAAGAGGCTGTACTGTGACCACTTCTATTTCCTTTCCAATCTCAAATGGATGAAAGTGCTTGCCAGGGCCTACCATTGTCCTCAGCACAATGCCAGTCCCAAAGAGGATTTTCTGTATTTATTTGTGCTGTCCCCAGCTGCTGCCTCTTAACTCAGCCCTTCCCATCAGATAAAAAATTAAGTTGGCCTGGGAAATCTTCCCAGAATACCCTAAGGGGCTGCGGCAGCTCAGAGCCTCAGAGGGCTTCCAGACCCAACGCTGGGAGGACCCAGACTCCAGGGCTGATGATGAGATGGGATGATGGCAGTAGCTGGCATTTTTTGAGGGCCACCAGGGTGCTACATGGCAGGTGCCAGGCTAAATCATCTGTGCATTCTGAGGAGGGCAAACCCCAGACTGATGAGAGTAGTACAGTAGCCACTTCCCATGGGGTACAAATGGCACATTTTTTCTAAAGCACTCACAGGTCTCTGGGGTCTCCGTGTTGTTAACAGGTCTCTTTCTAAGGATTTGTGAAAAGGACTGTGTGTGCGAAGACTGCCAGCCTTTCAAGGTGGACTCAGGCCATGAATAACAACACTGTGTTCTACACTGGGCAGATGCTGGCGCAGAAAGAATAGGTCTTCTTGTTCCTGTTATTGTCTTAAAACATACGCTTCTTAATGAAAGGTTAGGAAGTTGATGGTGATTACATTCCCATCCTAACAGCAAGAGTCAGCTGGCTTCCCCTGTACAAAAAAATAATGATTATTCCTCCACTCCCCCACATAAAAACAAGGTATTCAGACAGCTTAAGCTGCTAGTATTTATCAATAATTATTTTAATCATTGGCTTCCACTTTACACAGCACCCGCAGACTCATAGGCTCTGATTCTCACAGACAAGCTGGTAAGTGTTATGACCCCTGATCGATGGAAGAACCAAGATTTGGACCCAATTCTTAATTGCAAAGCTCCTGTTTCTGGCTTGCAGGAAATTTGTATTTGGTAGATCTGGATTGGGAGCTGGAAAGCTAGATCTTGCAACAAAATTTAAACATTTGTGGGTGCTTGGTACAGTGACATATGCCTGTAGTCCCAGAAACTCAGAAAGTTGAGGCAGGAGAATCAAATTCCAGGATAGCCTGGGGCAACAGAATGAGACTCAGTCTCCAATAAAATGTTGAAAAGTGTTGGAGCTTTTGTTCGGTAGTAGAGGGTTTGCCTAGCATATGTGAGGCTTTGGTTTCCATCGTTAGCAATACACACACATAAACACACACACCCCTAAAGTACTCGCAGACTACTTCAATAACACTACACCATCTTGGCTCTGGAACACAACAACCTGTGACAGGCCAAGCATCCACCGGCAGGTTTTTCTTCTGGCATTCACAGGGCCAGAAGTCAGAGAAGGCCTGGAAGTCTATCTTCCCCAGAAGCCTCTGTATGACAGTTTCAGCAAAGCCAGGCTCTTGCCCACCGCAATATCATACCCTGGAATTTTATCAGAACGCACATTGGCAAAGGGATTGTTTCTATTTAAAATATAACATGAACCAAGACCACGTTTAGGTACACTGTAGCTTTTCTCCACTTACAAACTCGAGAAACTCCCAATGCTGAGAAAATGCATTAGAAATCCTGCTAAAATACCGACATCCTTCTTTTCCACTATACTCCCCTCTTCTTTGTTCAGTTGTTTGCCAGGAGGGCAGGTGTGCAAAGCCCCACCTGAAGTGTGGTTAGAGACAGGGTTGTAGTAGCAGAGATGGAACTCAGGGCCTCACAGGTGCTAGGAAAGTGTTCTCCCCTGAACTACACTCCCAGACTTTTGTCAGTTTC